GATCGGTATTTGTCAATTAACGTCTTATTGCGCAAGACATCCATCACAACATAACTTCATTTGTTTACGTTGATTTAACATTTACACAGGTAGGATGTTTTAATTCTTTTTTACAAATGATTACATTATACTTCTTTTAAAACATTTAAGCATGAAAATATACTTTTATTATAATCAAACCATTTTCGATTCTATATTAACTTTATTTGGCATATACAGAACTTGATGTACTTTTTTAAAACATACCCGGTACATCATTGTAAATAATTTTTCACTCATATTTTATCCTGTGATAGCTACAATCGTACACATATATTTATATGTGCTTAATATAAAGGGCATTTTGGAGACAGGGTTAACAATGAATATTTACATTTTTAAATGTGTTTGTCTTTTGTTAATGTTTGTTAAGTTTCACCCCTACCAATATTATACTAATGTTATTGTGATTTAATTCAAGACACGTGGTCTTGGTTTACCAATTCAAAGGTTGTAGTGGAACCAGTTTCATTAAAAAAAAAAGTGGCAGTAAAAAAGAAATTGCTATAGTCTGGTGCTATTGTATCATATATTTATTTGTTATTTTTTCACAACTATGACAACTTACTTATAAACTGTTCCTCATGTACCACTGATGTTGGTGTGAGCGAAATTAATGAACTTGAACTTGTTTCCTTAAGGTAGGGCCGTATAGTTTTACGGATCCGGTTTTAATTTTATACACCTTCTATAAACTTTGTCCATCGAAAAGAGTTTTACGTGATAGTTACCAATAGAGTAAGTAAATTGTTTATAATAGTGCCTTTATGAATATAAGACATTTAAGAAACAATATATATGGAAATTAACACTTTGTTAGCTCTATTTTTTATTGATTTTAATGAAGACTGTACCTTCCTTTTATATCTTACTATTTTCAAATTTTTCAAGAATGAATACAAAAACTTGACATCTCCAAAATTGGGGTATACATGTTCTAAAGACTGTTTTTATTTATGTGGTCAACCATGATAAAATATGTAATTTTGTTAACCTTAGATATAATTTTAAATGATTTTAAAGATAAAATGGCATGTGAACAGTTTATATTTTGAGAAATGTTCAAAATTAAAGTATTTTGTTGATTTTATTTAATTGACGTGAGAAGATTTTATGTAACATTAATTTGTAATTTTTTCAGTGAAAATCTTTAAAAATTCTCTTAACAAGTAAATATTTTTTTGATTTTCGTAAGTTATAAGCTAATATAATGTGTTTTAGTGCATAACTAAATAAAATATGAGATCATCCTTTTCTATGTTAAATTTTGGCTGTTGAATTTCATGAGATATGTATTCTGAGACACTTTGTATGAAAACAAGCATACAAAGGTATGTCATTTATGAGCTTTTTAGTTGGTTTATGAGTTGTTCTAGGTATTCAAATGAAAGAAAAAAATATTTGTTTTACAGAAATTTTTGAAAGCCCGAGCCTACCTTAAAAAACATTATTTTTAAAAATTTTTGTGATGGATTTTCATGATTTACAAAGAAGGGTGTGGGGGTTGAAAATTGTAATCTACTTAAACTTCGAGTTTGTGTGAAGTTTGGAGTTCAATAGTGCCTATTTCACTCCAATGGTCCTTTAGGTGGTGAAAAAAATGCTACACTGTCACCTTATGCCTTATATGGCAATTGTTGTTACTGCACAGAGTTCAGTTGTCCAATCGTTGAATGCATTACATTTTTTTTTTCATTAAAATATACGTACCTGAAGATTTTTGTCTTGGGCCAGTGAATCCACCTGATATTTGCATTCACCGATAGTACAACTAAGGAATACAAAAGCAAATCGCAATAATAGAATAGAGAAAACTTAAATTCTGTGTTTATTTAACAATTGTTTGTAAACGTGAGCGTGAAAATAGTAGTTAAAAATGGACATTTTTTTATCTGTGAAATGCATGAAGAAAACAAAATTGTGCCCCCCCCCCCCCCGAGATCTAGTAGAAAACTTGGTCTTTATTGTAAAATTCCTTTAGTATTCTTAGTAAAGCATAATGCAATTCAATGATTTAGCTGATTTGTTGGTTTATAAGTCACATTGGTAACTCATTTAGAATGTAAATTTAGTCTAAAGCCAGAAAATATGTTTTCCTATGCAAGCATATTTGTCCAAGAAAGTATATTATACAACTGGAAAAGATATATCAGGAAAAATTACTGATTGAGGAAGTCTGAATGAATTATATAGAGAGATATTGTAGAGTGATGAAATGTTAACTATGTCTCTATTATCTTCGCTGGGCCAAGTGTCCGATTCACTCTCTCTCATCTTGAAAAGAGAAGAGGAGCGGTTCGTCACCCTTGACCAGCGAAGATGTGTCTCCATGTGCTGCCACATCCTAGATACACTTCCGTGAATAATTTACCTGTTTCATTAAAAGTCTCGCTGTAGTCTCGATAAATCTCGACAGAGCTACTTCGAAGTTCTCGGGTATTTTAATTTTCTGAACACCGATAAATAAAAGATTCCGGATACATAAGATTTATAACTTTGTAGTACATACTTGCCCCCGTTTTTAAAGATGCAATTAGGCATGTTATGAACTAAGTTTTCATATAACGTTTTTCGAATTGAGTATCATTCCCTCTGAGCTATCTTCCACGTGTCTTTTTTAGCTGTCGGCATGTTTTTACCAAATTCCTCACATTCCATTTTAACATTTCCATGAATTGCTTAGATTGAGTTTCAATCGGGATCATTAATGTAGAAAATGCGTTGCGTTTGAGAAATTCTTTTGTGTTCATCAGAAAGACACTGAAAGATTTTAGTACCATATGTGCTTGTTTGGAATACAAAACGATTTGCAATTATTATGGAAGCAGCATATGTCTTAACTCAGAGAGCACAAGAGAACCTCTCAAACGAAATGTAGTTTCTATATTTACAGTCCTCATTCAAACCCAAATAAAAACATTGGGGTCAAACAAAGAAGAGTGTACCTGACTCGTACCATGCTAACAACTTATAAATTAAAAAGATATGTGAATAGCACCCTAGCAAGAACGGTGCTCAATTCCAAAAAAGGGGGGTTCTTTGAAAGCTTGGTTTATAACATGTTTAGTTGTATTAAGGTTGTTATTTCTGCAAAAAAGGAGCAAATAAATACTACTAGTTTTTGTTTGTTCAATTTTTCAGTAGAAATATCTTGATTTCCAAAATGTGCATTCAACCAGTTCTGAAAAGCATGTTCTAGGTTAATAAGTTCTTTTGGGCTGTAAACGTTCATAAAGTTTTACCTTTTAAAAAAAATATATATCATACCATTAGTAGATAAAATCCCTAGGCATACTGTAAACGTATTTGGTTTGGATAAGTATTCTTCTTACCCCATTGGAATTAGACAATTGAAGAAAAAAATCAAATATATACAGTAGTAATGGACCATTATAGAATACAAATTGAAAAATTCAATAATAAAAATAAAAAATACAATACAAATAAAATATAAAAAAAAAAACAACTCTAATACAAAACGTGAAACTTGCATCACAAATAAACAGAATACAAACTTTAAAGATCAAACTTTGCAATGCTATAGGCCTGACATTAATGGAATAATGGGCTCTAAAAGTCAAATAGAATCCATTTGGCACATATGGAAAAAGACAATCACCGCAAATGTTATTAATACATGTCCTTTTGTCTGATTAGCCTTTTTTTCATTAATATTTAAGGAATAACTGTCTAATTTTTTGGATTCATGATGTGATCAATCGAGTGGCTTGCGTGATAATTTGCATAAACGCCGAAGGCGTTTATGCATAAAATTATCACGCAAGCCAATCGATTGATCATCGTCATGAATCCAAAAAATCTGACAGTTATTCCTTATATTTACATGCTCCTGATTCTGCAAATTTCCGTGCTAATAGCCCCGCTTCTGTCTCTATTTGTCCCGCCTCGCACGTGATTTTTTTTAACCGCGCCTATCGATGAACCAGTAGATTTATGTAGAAATAAAGTATTTTTACAATTTGTGATTTTATCTCGGACAAAGACATTGGAAATGTAAATAATCATTCATTTACATTTCTTTCTTGAGACTGTTTACACTCGTATTTAATACGGATATGTACTAGTCTGTTCAATATAAGCTCAAAAGTACGAGTGCGAAAAAACATACAATTTAATGATAAAGAGGGAAATAAATTCAGTACAAACAAAGTTTATATAATTCCAAAAATACTATTGCGTAAGCAAGTGCAATTTACTAAGTTGTTTAAAAGGAAAACAAATTAATTACATAAATTAATTACATAAAAAAGTTCTGTATAATATCAAAAATACGAGAGAGAGAGAGAGAGAGAGAGAGAGAGAGAGAGAGAGAATATAATAATGATTTTGAAAATAAAATCAATACAAATAAAGTTCAATATGATCTAAAAAGTATAATTTAATATATATATATATATATATATATATATATATATATATATATATATATATATATATATATATATATATATATATATATATATATATATATATATATATATCACAGTAATGATAAAGAGGAAAACAAATTCAATAGCCAAGTGCAACAAAATACGTACTATAGTAAATTGGAGACATGAGTGGTTGATATCATTGACCAGTAGGATCTTACATATAACGCCTTATCTAGGGAAAATAATTTCTAGAATAAATGCATATTTATTGTAACATTATAAAAATATGTACAGCAAATAGCTTCTAACACATCATAGAAAAAACTTAAAAGAATATTTCGCAATTTTCCATTGATCTATAGTTTTTCTATTTCCCTTCCTTTTTTCTGTAACGAACATATATTTTTAAAAGCTTTCAAAATACTCAAACATATATCCATGTAAGTCATGAACTCACGTGCATGTTAAACTCGACATGTTATACGTTATGTTTACTTCCTTTACTTTTCATTGTGAAATTAACAACAGGAAGGGAAAAGAGGCGATGAGTTACTCATTTATTTCTCTCCCTCTATTGCCATGAAATATCATAGATATATTGATGATGAAGAGTCTAAGTTAAAAATAAGTGAACGGCTGCGTAAACTTTATGATGATGTTTCAGGTCTGGGAAGCATGGGCCTTTTTAGGCAGTTTCTTCAACTTCTGTGGAAAAACCTCATTCTCAGAAAACGACAAAAGGTAAGAAAAAGCTTAGTGTGCGGGGATCTGTGTGCGTGTGTGTGTGTATTCATTTACTCTCAAGATTTTTTTTCCCTTTTACTTGACAAAATCACACATTTCACTCTGAATGCACTATGCATTACAATTCATTAGCTAAAGTTTCCGTGCAGAGATTTAAAAAAATATATTACTCACTTACCTTTGTGAGAAAATCAAAACTTTCATGAAAAAAATACTCTTTGAAAATTAGATTTAATGTAACGCCATTACAATTTAGAGAAAGAGTTTTGATTTATAATATATTCCAATTTAAACAATCGTTTTAATAAAATCAAGTTTTTCTAATAAGGCCGTGTCACACTTTCACGATTTATGCTACGATTACCCACGAATTAAAAAATGTTGAAAATCGTCGTTCATCGCCAGGTTAGTCTTGCGATTTTTCCATAGCGTGTGGAATTTTTTGCCGCGAGAACGGGGTGTCTACGATGTCTGTGCGACAAAGTACGATGTTTGTACGATTAAAGAACGAACTGAGGCGACAACATTACGAATTGGTTACGATATTTCCACGATTATGAAGGATTAAACGCGGTTACATACGATACTTGTACGAAGGACTACGATATGGCACGATACATGCACGAAAATTCTACGATTAATGATGATTTCTTACGAATATACTTGTAATGAAATGCATATAGAAGAAAGGGAGAAATGTTTGAAATTAATAAACATCATAGTAAAGTTAATTGATCAGGGTAAAAGCTACAGTGTGGAACTTTTGATTGTGTTCAATCTCTTCATGAATTAATTGGACATGGCCTTTATAGTTTCTGTTTGTGTCACATGTAAGTAGATCTTCGAGAAAATAATCATTATGTTAAGCCCATGTCACACTGTCACGATTTATAGCTGCGATTCATTGCGAATTCAAAAATCGCAGCAAATCGGGATTTATCGTAGAGGTAGTCGTAGGATATCTTTCTTAATCGTGTTGAATCGCAGCAAATCGCAAAACTCGGCGATTGTTTTGAGCATGTTCAAAACAATCGTGGACACAGCACGATTTTTAAGTGTTCGTATATAATCGCACAACACCCGCACAGCACGCGTACACAAATTCGTGGTAAAATTTCGACATTCGTGGAATTTCGTAGTACTCGCGACAATGCGAGTGTCCTTCGAGCTACTGCGAGTGTCCTTCGAGTTACTGCGAGTGTTCTTCGAATTGACATAGACGACTTTCCCGCAAATATGATACGAAAAAGGATGATTGATAGCAAGTGCTGTACGAGTACTGTGCGATTGAACTACAAGTTATTACGATGTAGGCAGACGTTGTCTGGTATTAACACTGTCGAAGTCAAATACCGCATAAAATGAAAGGAAAGAAGCTAAGAAAAGTGAAATAAACTGAAAATGCATTTGTCGCAGAAACTATAAAGACCGTGCCCAATAAATTCATGAAGAGATTGAACATAATCAAAAGCTCCACACTGTAGCTTTTATACCCTGATCAATTAACTTTACTATGATGTTTATTAATTTCAAACATTTCTCCCTTTCTTCTATATGCATTTCATTACAAGTATATTCGTAAGAAATAACCATTAATCGTAGGATTATCGTGCATGTATCGTGCCATATCGTAGTCCTTCGTACAAGTATCGTATGTAACCGCGTTTAATCCTTCATAATCGTGGAAATATCGTAATCAGTTCGTAATGCTGTGGCCTCAGTTCATACTTAAATCGTACAAACATCGTACTTTGTCGCACAGACATCGTAGACACCCCGTTCTCGCAGCAAAAAATTCCACACGCTATGGAAAAATCGCAAGACTAACCTGGCGATGAACGACGATTTTCAACATTTTTTAATTCGTGGGTAATCGTAGCATAAATCGTGAAAGTGTGACACGGCCTTATATACCCGGTAGTTAAAATAGTGTCAAGAGATCACTTACCGTATTTAATATATTTAATATAAATACTTCAATTAGAAATATAAAATGAATATTATATTTAAAAACTTAACACAATGACAGTATTATAAACCCAAGTTCACCACAATGAATAAAAAGCATTGTACGGGAAATCCTAATCGGACATGTCCCTAAACATTATTCAGTTTAAGGGGGGATTCTTCTCATATTTCTTGTATTTAGAAATTAATAAAATTTTCACAGATTCAAGAAGACATTACCACTGGGTGATGGTATCAATTAGATTAAATTTGACCGTTTTATTTTAGAAGCAAGGTCTGGTCAAAGTCATTATCTTTTTCCTTCACAATAAAAATGAAAAGTTACTGTTGCCAATCATTCAACGCCTACTTCTATTTCAAAAGTTTAAATACTTTTCTTTTTGCATAAAAAGATACTACCGTATAAGGTGTTTCAGATGATACTACCAAATCGACATGACTAATTCAACTAAAATAGATATTAGCTAATCCGAATTTCCTCTACTTTTCTTAAATTTCTAGGATATATTAGTTATTTTAATATGCTTCATATGTTTAAATTTTTATTATTTTCACATATGGTAAAGTAGTCATATAAAGATACAAATTGACACAAAAACAAAAAATGTTGACCGTTTATACTTAGCGAGAAAAAACACTTTTTACAGATTTTTTGCTCAAATCTGTACTTAGACTGGAAGCTTTTAAAAGCTAATAAAATTGTAGTTTGTTTGAAAAATTATATTTATTTGATATATTTTAAAACTTTAGTCCCTTATTATCAATTTTACTTACATTTGAAATTTTTTGTGAAGTCTTTGATTGTTTAAAAATTTTAACGAAATTCATTGTTAAGAAGGCCCTTACATCTAAATCTATAAGACCTATAAGCGAATATACTTTGAATATCTCATCTTGTCAGAAAACAGACAAGAATCCCCCCTTAATTTTAATTTTAGTAAAAATGTTAATATTAAGTATTTTAATGTTTACACTAAAAACATTTCTACATTAAAAATACTTTTAAAAAAATAACACGAAGACAGTATGTTATAAACCTTAGTTCATCATTCTCCACAATAAATAAAAGCAGTTTAACTCGATAAATTTGGTAGTAACAATACGTACATATATATAAAGTATAATAGGTCCTCTTGTTTATAGTATTAAGAAACTGATAAATAATCTATTTCTTAAAGTAAGGCTATGAAGCAACCTGATATATATACACATGTTTCTGGATCACAGAAAGTGTCTTATCTCTTCATAAATTGCAATAATTGTGACCAGGAAGATAAAAGTAAAGTAAATACATATACGATATTAAAAGTATATATATATAATATATTGTGTACAACATAAATAGTAGATACATACACAAAATTAAATGTAGATACATATACATATACAACATTAGAAGTAGATAAATATACAACATTAAACGTAAATACATGTACAACATTGTAAGCCATTTTTTTAAGAAAAAAAGATCTTTGAACATTAAACATTAGACTAACCAGGTATTTTTATACTATAAATATACGTCGTTGGACAGTCTCCCTCTTTATTTTATTCGTGAATACCAAAATATCAGAAAAGTTACTTGTCTTTTGAAAAAAAAACGAATAGAAATTGCTAATCTATAAGTTGGACAATGTTTTAAATGTTATTTTAACCGTTATTATTAAGGTCTTCCGTTTCAGACGGAAGACCTTATAGTGATTCTACTGTTTCTTTTTATTATTATTTTTTTTTTCCCCTTTTCTTGTCGGAGCGTTTTCTCAGAGATGGCTGGACGGATTTTCTTGAAATTTTCAGGGATGATAGAGAATGAAAATACCCCTAGGCGTTTTTTTCATTTTTTCAAAATTCACTTCCGGTCGTCAGATATGTCCGATTTCCGTTTTTTTCAAAAATATTTTGTCCCAGTCATATCTCAGAAAAGGTAAGAGATTAAGACACCAAACCTATACGGTTAATAGATCTTGAGGAGTAGGCAAAACCATTTGGGTTAAGAGCGTCAGCCGTCACTTCCGGTCGTCACAGGAAGTGATCAAAGAAATCGAAATTTTCAACTTTTCTTTTTTGATTTTTTTCTTTCATTACATTGTTGCATCTTATTTGTAGATTCGAAATATGTTAGTCTTACCGGAACCAAAAACGTCAACTTCCGGCTATAAGTGAAAAACTGCATAATTTGAGTATTTTACTTTCCCATAAATATTTTTTATACATAATGTATTTGAACTGATTTTTGAATATGTTATCAAGACTGCAAATGTCTAGAGTAACGTCAAATATCTTTGTAAAATTCACTTCCGGTCGCGCGTTTAAATGTCCGCAAAATGAGAACTTGTCCGAGTGAGATCTCAGAAACGGTAAGAGATTTAGACACCAAACTGATAAGAGTATTAAACCTTGAGAAGTAGACAAAACAATTTGGCTTAAGAGCGTCAGTCGTCACTTCCGGTCGTCACAGGAAGTGATCAAAGAAATCGAAAATTTCAAATTTTCTCTTTTGAAATAAGACTTGCATCATATAATTGTATCTTTTTCACAGTTACGAGATGTCTTGGTTCCACCGGAAACAAAAAACGACAACTTTCGGTTTTAAGAGAAAAACTACATAATAGGGGTTTTGAATTTCCCCCAACATATCGCTTATAGATAGAGTTCTTTAAATGATTTTTATATATGTTATTGAGACTGCAGTTGTCTAGATTGACATGAAATATCTTAATAAAATTCACTTCCGGTCGCGTGTTTTCTTGTCCACAAAATGAAAAGTTATTTCAGCGAGATCTCGGAAACGGCATGAAAGTAAAACACCAAACTTGTAGGAGTAATAAAACTTGGTGAGAAGGCAAAACACATAGGGTTAAAAGCGTCAGCCGTCATTTCCGGTCATCACAGGAAGTGATCGAAGAAATCGAAAATTTCAACTTTTCTTTTTAAAATTAAAATTTTCATCACTTTATTGCTTCCCTTTCGCTGTTTTAAAATATGTTAAATTCCACCGGAAAAAAACTTTAAACTTCCGGTTTTAAAAGATAAACTACGTTATTTCGTGGTTTAGCTTTCTCATAAATATCACTTATAGATAAGTAATTGAAATGTTTTTTTTTTTTTTTTTTTTTTTTTTTTTTTACATATGCTGTAGATACTGCAAAAGTCAAGAGAAAATTCAGAGATTTTTATTCAGTTCACTTCCGGTCGTGTGTTTTCTTGTCCTCAAAATTAGAATTTGTTCTCACAATTGTTCGGCAACAGTAAAAGACTGAACTCTAAAACTTTCAGGACTTATAGTCAGTCATCAGTTCATTTGCTTGGTGTAAAAATCGTGTGTCGTCATTACTTCCGGTCGTGAGAGGAAACGAAGCAAAAAAGTATATTTTAAGTTATTTGGTTTCTACATAAGTTTTAGGCTAATACCGACGTTGGAAAAGACATGTTCATGCAAACAGGAAGTCGTATAACGGAAGACCTTCTCATTACTAGTAATGAGTTTCTAGTTATCATTATTATTAATTTTAGCATGTGCTGCTATTAGAAGTCGTGTGGCCAGTGTTTATATTTTTGGTGGTGATCATCATTCGTCAAGGCACACCACCCGTGAAAAAAGATACATGTAAGTATTATTTACTTCTTATTATCTACTCACTACTTGATCTGAAGTATTCTGAATGTAGGAAATTTTCATTGTGGTATTTCTTAGAATTGCGATTGCTCTGATACATCAAGCAAACGAAATTATATCCTCATTAAATATACAAAATATATACAATTGGACGTCACAAAGCTTAGTTTACAGTACATATAACAAGGATATATTTTACTTTTTTGCAATACAATATAATATACTATCACCTTTCACTATGAAGTTGAAGTTAAAAATACATTTCCTTCAAATATTAGAAAATATATTTGGGGGGATATATCAGTGCCAAGTTATGAAGAAAGTACTCATTAATGACGGGAATTTATTAAGAAAAAATGAAGATATGTATATTTTGTGAAGAATTGTAATGTAGTGTCTGAAATTAATTATTTCTTATAAAATACTCGAATCCATCCAGTATCATTCGTCGAAAATCAAAATCCGTCTTTAGAATAAAACCAAAGAAAATTGGTGTAACATACGGTAATTAAAATCCACAGGAGTAAACTGTTATTAAAATATACAGGAAACACAAAAAATTTTGGAAACACGCTGAATTTTCTTTTCAAGCCTACATTCTTATAAAGTCTGACACCTGGTTCTAATAGTTCTATAAAGACTAATGTCCATTATATTTGTTTCACAATAACACTCTGTTGATTTCTATCAATCCAAAAATTGGTACCATAAAATTTTGAAAGTAAAATGTGAAAGCTAGATTTGTCTGTATAGGTTCTTACAATGAGCACGCTATGCCCAGCGCTGGACTGGTTCCATTCCTACAGTCCACAGTCTGCAATTTACAGAATCCATGTGAAGCACGGAGCAGTATAGAAATAAAACAAAATAATATGAATAGGTAAGAGTTCACACTTTAACGAAGAGGGAACAATTCACATTTCATAAAATATTTATTCTAAAAACATTTCGATCGAGTTTTGATGTGCAATGTAAATACATGTACATGTATGCTGGATAAAGAAACAATGTGTGCAAGGAATGTTTCACGGGTTGCTAAGCCTATTTCTATAATTATAATCCATTCAATTATAACGTGTTTTGAAAAAAACTAAAACAATATCATTATTAAATTCATATGGGCCTAGAAACGAATTATAAAGCGAAATTTCAACTCAGAATCAACATTACTAGTATGCTGAATTGCATTTTATCACGTGCCGATCAATCTCAACAAAAGTCTGGCCAGAGACACAAATGCTATAGATAATATTGAAAACAATTTGATGCTATATATGTATTGTAATATATATGTTGTTGAGACAGTTCTTATTGCACAAAAGTTTAACAGTTATTATCAGGTAATTATCAGGTATTGTGTCGCCGTTCCTGAACTTTTTTTTTCGCTGAGCTTTTGCATTTTTATTTCATTGTGGTCCACGATAACACTAGACTAATGACGAACTTCTAGTGCTTCAATGATTACAAGATTCGAGATTAGATTAAGTATAAATAAAACAAATACAAAAGTTTAATCCTCAACTTCTTTTCTCTTTTTCTATGTCGCCCCCCCCCCCTTTTTTTTCTTTTTTGGGCCAATGAATGTTTATTTTATAAAATTGTCCTTTATACTGTATATTATGATATGGAGAGAAAAAATAGCTTCAAGAGTAAGTTACACAGCCTGAGGTGGTATAAGTTCGATAAACTTTATTCACAAAGTTTCAGTCTCTTTTTTTGGGGGGGGGGGGGGGTTATTACTTTTTAAAGAATTTTTAGATTTTTTGAACCGAAAATATCATGTCTCCCACTGATACCTTTATTTGAGATGCATGCTATTCGGTTTCAATCTTGATATAGGACAAAATTCTAATGGATAATGAAGTACGATGTACTTTAACGAAAATTATTTAAAAGTCATAGATATTATTCAGAATGAGCTCCCGTATAATTGCTCAAGAAATAAAAAAAAAAAAAATAAAAAAATCACTAAAAGTCAAATAAAACGTAGAGAGTTTTGACATGTTTGCTTCACTGGATAGATTTACAGATTTCAACTTTTGCCTGTGATAATGATAGAGATCCTGATATGTGAGACTTGAGCTGTTTTAATTATTTTTGTAGACAAACCTACCAATTCTTGTGGTTAGTAAATTCCTTACGATTTCGCAATATCCGTGTGGGAATTTTCTACGAGTACATACTAGGTGAATATTAGGGATGGATTGATTCTTTTTTTTCTAAATAGTTTAATATTGGGGATGATTTAACTCGTATATCTGTAGAGCTTTTTAAAAACTTATTTGCATAGAAATCATTGTTAAATTGAAAAAAAAGTTGAATAAATTATTCATCCGACATATGCGTCTGGTTTCCCCCCTGTGTGAACTTTGTAAGGAGTGTAGGTATGAGCAAAACAACATCGTGCATGGATGAATTCGTATCAGAACTAATTTTTTGCATTTCAAATGTTAATCTAAAAACCCTCACATCAAAAGCAAAAAATAAATGAAAATTTCAAAAGAAATAGATAGATCTTTCTTTAATAAAATCCGAACAGCTTCACGTACAGTCTCTCACAAGAAATATATATAGTGAACATATTCCCTCTTTTTTAAAGTAAAGACATAATTATCAATCATGATGATTTAAGGCTATCCTTAATCCCATTCAATCCCATTCAATCATTTATGTCGAAGAATTTTACCTGTCAAATCAAACCTTTCATGCTTTATGGTTACAAAATTTAAAAATATCAACATGAAAAACATATCTATATACACCACTAAAAGGGATGTGCATTTTTCACCATTTATCTGAAATGCTACTTGCCTTTTATAAAAGAAAGCCTTATTTTAGTCACTTCTTTCAGTTTTGCTGCAGCTATACAAGATTTGACTCCACATTTCTCAAGCGAACCGACCCTTAAGGCCTTGAAGTCCGTAAAGACCGGCGTCAAGCTGGCCAATGCCATAAGTGACATCTCAAAGAATGGTTCTCTGTCAAACCTGATGAGTGAGTTACAGTGTATATGTAATCTTAAATTTATTTTGTACCCCCGAATACTTATAATCATAGGGGAAAAGGATACAGGGGTCCAGGGACACAATGTTTGCCAAACAATAGGAAAATCATTTCATTGATGCAAATTAAAAAAAATCAGATGAGGCAGTCTTCATGAATATTTTGGTAGAAAAATCAAACATTTGTGTAGAATAAATGTTATTTTAAATAAAATCAATTATTGTTTTAAGTTTGATCACAAAACGAGTGGAATGGAGTGTATAACAAAAGTCGAACACTCTATTTATATATGATGAATACTTTTTTATGATTTACACATATGAATCGGTTGATTACATAATTGAATTACAATTTTTCAGTTTTGAACCATGAAATTCGCAAGAACATGGGGGATCATGCTTAAAATAATACCTCTGATTGGTCAAAAAAAAAAAAAAGATTAAAAAATCAAAAAGCAACCATAACAATTTTTTTGTACTGTATCAGTTAAATTTATAAACTTGTACATGTACTTGACGTAAAATTTATACAATATTATACTAGTTTCATTAGTACTGAAAGTACTAGTATATACCATGTACAAACCAAAGTTAGCTCAATTTATCATTTTCACTTAACAGTTCATGACACATTTTTCTTCATATGATTTTAATTTGTCTTTGCGCAATCTTTTTGAAAGTGTGTCTTCAAAATAGGAGTAAAAAGAAGGTTGCAAAGCCAACTTTACATTAAAAGTACATTTTATGACAAAAGCATTGTAAAAGTGCTTGAAGACCACATTACGCAAACCAAATTTAAATGCCGACACTTGTTCCAGAAGTTTAATGACGCAGTGATTAAAGTATCTATTTCATTCACAGAATCAAAGTAAGGATTTTTTCATCGTTCGGGTTTAATCCCTGCGTGCACCCATTTTTAATTTTTGATTCTTTTTTTTATTACCATAGAATACTTTCCCGTAAATAGATATTGCTTGGAACAATGTCATACTTTATTAATGATAAAAACATTGCGTTAAACATAAAGTTTAAAATGTTATCCAATGAATCATTCCCTGAGCTATTTCCTCCATGTTCTTTAGTTTCCATCTTTTGTGCATCGTACACATACAATAGCACAGCACAAAAGTAAGTGAAAACAATAGCACAGCACAAAAGTAAGTGTTTTATTTCAACATTTCCATCTGAAAAACGGGTTTCCCAATTGCATAGTATTTACATCAATACGTTTGGGTTGTTTTAGATACTAATTAGTAAAATCGTTAGCTATACTATTACGGGTTGAATAGGATTGTTTATTGTTGCTCACTTCAGAGACAATAAACGGATTTCAAAAGCTTCATATAAGTTTGATTAACTTTTGAGAAATTTGCTATAAAGAATCATGAACTATAAATTGTTTGGACATCAGGTGGGGGGGGGGGGGGGGGGGGGGTCTGTGTATACGGTATATTTAAATCACAAATTATTCACAGCATGATATAAAATATATTAGTTTTATATATTCAAGAAAATAATAAAAAATTACTTATTATTTTATTTTATTAGTAATTTACAAAATAACGATTGTTTACTTTGCAGACGACACAAGTTTTCTGCTGAAGAAATTTTTTCGAGACCCTGACAAGATGAAGGACATATTCGTCAATGAACTCGGAGTGATGACTAGTGACGTAGCTGACGCACTGCTCAACGCCGAGCTCAACATTCCAGAGGTATCAGTCGTCTGCAAGATCAGACTTATGGTGTTGAATGACTAACTTTATCCCTGATACACAGAAAAAAGTAAATTAACTTAGTCCAACAGGTGACACATGAGTACAGTGGGTGTGCTAACAGTATCATTACGACTGATGACGCTTCTCACTTGACAGTAACAGATGAGACTATTCGAACACTCTGTTAGCAATATTTCACTCCCTTTCTCCGTTGATTGCTTCCGGTGTCGTTCTAAGTGACATTTCCGGGGTAGAGCTTACATCAAATGGTCCCTCTTTTACTGACAATACGCAAATTGTCAAGGAAATTACTCTTAAACCATGTCTCCGACCTATCATTCTGATATCGATAATATTAATTTATAATTAAAATCATTCATTATTTACAAGGCATGTTTCCTTGTCCTACAAACAAGAGGACTATACGGACAATACTCATTATTTTCTTGTTGCATTCTTATTCATTGCAAAACATTCTTTAATGAAGCTTTAAAAAAAATTACCTGCGTTGCATATACTATGGTGATCTAATGGAATTTAAGATCTATTTTGAATTAACCTTGTTTTGAAATATGTAAAACAGTAGCATATGTGTTTTATCAGCTTATTTACCTCTTGTCCCGTAAACTGGGTATCCAAAATGAATTGTCTTTGAAAAGTAATCTGCCACATATATAATTTGCATATTTTAGTGTATACATAGAAATACGAGAACATAAAAGTGAAATGGTCATAATTTTGCTCAATTATTACGACGTACATTATGAGGGTTGTTTGAAAAATTCGCGAACTTCTGTCATAACTTGACGTCATATTATATTCAAATTTGGTAGACGTGGTTTAACAATGAATTCGAATGATTTATATTAAAAATTTCAGATTTAGTAATAAATCGATATAATTATATTTATATAAGAAGGGAATAAAGCGAAAATGGAGTCAAGGAGCTGGTCAAAATTTAGTAATTTACAAACAAAACACAAAATAATAACTGTATTTATGAAGCAATATACCCTTATCACCTGCATATAGAGTCTCGTCTCCCAATAGATTCGTTACACAAGAGCATGCTCTTCGTACGAACAATTTCTAAAACAATGCAAGCTATTGACAAACAAGTTGATGAAACAAGGTTATCAACAGTCTCGTTTAAAGTTAACATTTTGCAAATTCTATGGTCCATACAATGACTAGTCAGCAAATACAATCTATCATTAAGTCGATGACTGACTTTTTTTTTCATTCAAGTTGTTCTAGTCCATTATTTTCATACTCAACTGGCTACAGATTTTTCCGTTTACCCGATCATGACAGGAGCACATGGCGGGTGTGATTGGTTGACAAGGGATGCTTACTCCTCCATGGAACCTGATCCCACCTCTAATGTTTATAGGGATCCGTGTTTGATCTGCTCCAAATCTGTATTGTTTCAATGGTCCTTTGAGCTTGATAACTGTTCGTTATCTACATATTTCGTATCTCTGAAATTCAGACATTCAAATTAAAAATTGCTAGGTCGTTTCATATGCCAAATTGACTGATTTTGATTCGCTGATAAGAAATTTATTTCAGAAGATAGGTAGTTCTCATTAAAAAAAAAAAAGATGACGACATAGGAGCAATTAGCTATACAATTTTTAGTGTTGCACTCGGGGAAACTCCAGAACAAATTATGAAAAATACTGGCTGGAGGAAGCAGGGAATATGTCAAGTGAGCTGTGAATTGGAGTATAAATTGCACAGGTGGTTTTTGAGTGGTAGAGACTGTATCAGACGATGGACGATCTTTGAGGAAACGGATTATCAGTAAAAATCTGATCAAAAGAGTTAGTACGTTATGGAAAGAGATGGGTGCTTTACTGTTGCGGATCTTTTGGAAACAGATTTACTCGGTCAAAAATTTGAAAATGAACTCATGGTACTGGAACAATTGTTAGGAAACTAAATATCAAGTAATATAGATACATCTTTAATGAGTGGGTATGACTGTGTGTGAAATGTGTATAGGGAGAGTATTTTTGAGAAACTTGTGACGCTTTTTTTTTGACGTTACAAGGTTGTCAACTTGCTCCGGATCCCTGGTAACAAAACATGTTGATTTAAGAAATTAAATAACACGATTTCCATTTAATCGCATGGAGTGAAACTTCACACATCAAAAATTCAATAATTTTACTTATGATAATGTGCTGATTTTGAATATTTTGGAAATAATATGATAAAGATTGACATTGTCCGCGAATTTTTCGAACACCCCTCACACGAGTTAAAAATATTGTTGATGTTCATGTATGTAAAAATGACTTTCTAAAGAAAATTATCATTATTTTCGACATTATCAAAATAACATGTATTACATGAGATGCAGAACTGAAGCTCTACGGAAAAGTTAAAGTTGACAGACCGGTCTATCAACCTAGGTTTTCGCTTCAGTTCTGCAGCTAGCATTTTCACCAGTGTGACAGTAAAAGGAGATTTCATGAAAGACTTCTTAAGACCACGCGTAATTTAATAATACGGATAGCTTCTGGACACATTTTTGCACAATAAAACCTAGCTGCTTTTCATTCTTCTGATACCCAAACCTTTTTCCTAACCATGTAATACTCATATTCATTTATTAATCATCATTTGATTCTGAATATATCTTTCCTGTGAGATGTGAGGTTTTCAATTTTTGCCGCAATTTTGCAGAATCGTCACAATTTTAGTCAAGAAGAAATAAAGCATAAATATATGTGAAATTTTTAAAAGAAACCCTGCTCATATATACATTTTACAATTTTATTTCTCAAAACCCATCTAACAATATTCACTTTATTGTCGTATCCCCAGGTCCTTCACAATATAGGTTCTATAGACTTCCGTGATATCGTTTGTGATCGAGACAGACTGATGGAATACATGATGTTCCGACTAGAGGTCAATGTGACGTCAGTGTCCACCACGCTTTGTTCCATCCCCGAAAACAGGATCCCAGAGATCACTAACGTGGTGCAGAACCAGATAGATGTGGCGGCCATTATACGAGTGGTGAGTACGATTATACAAAGATCGGAATCGGAAGTACATAGTATGCAGTGTATGGAATGAATACTAGTATATCCTTATAAGGAATAGTTTTCTTATCCTAGTTTTTTCAGCTTACATGATAACCCAGCCACTGGGATTATTTCATCTTACAAAAAAGGAAAATGATACGTAAAATAGAAAAAATAATTTTATATCTTATCGCTGGAACTTTTTGATATGACTAATCTCAACATCATTTAACACTATGATATGACTAATATAAACATCACTTTACACTATATGACTAATCTCAACATCATTTTACACTATGATATGACTAGTCTCAACATCATTTTACACTATGATATGACTAATATCAACATCACTTTACACTATGATATGACTAATCTCAACATCATTTTACACTATGATATGACTATTATCAACATCACTTTATACTATGATATGACTAATCTCAACATCATTTTACACTATGATATGACTATTATCAACATCATTTTACACTACGATATGACTAATATCAACATCATTTTACACTATGATATGACATATATGACTAATATCAATATCATTTTACACATGCTTTAGTCTAAGACACTGACCACTCTGACGATGGATTACACGTTGACGGACGCGCTAGAAGACATCGCCACAATGACGGACCTCCTGTATGGAACCCCCAACTTCATGAGCATCATCCGAGACCTTCCTAACCTCAAAGATCTACCCAGTATAATGCACAAAATTCCAGGGCTGGTGGACTCCATCATCAAACTGGGTGTCACCGATCTTTCCTGGTAAACATTGTTTTGCTCTAAATCATTTCGCTAAAAAACTTCTTAAAACATTTTTTAGAAAAATTAATGTAGGATTTGTTCTGATGAGCAAATAAAGAAAATACTACTAGTAGTATATAATAAGAGTTGATGAAAAATAATAACTTCTATACCATATGATTGTAAAGTCTATAGTATTAATTTTCTTCAATATTGACATATTTGAAGGATGACGGATCTAGTCAAGTTTCTGGATCCAATCATCGATCGTTTAGACCCTGATAACGTGGGATGGAACGTCACTAAGGAACTAGTCGGTGTAGTCTTAGACGTCTCAAGTATCGCAAACGGAAGTACGTAATTCCATGGATGTGATTGTTTTTCCTCTTTTCATGTGTCTAAATACAGAATAAAATATACTAGTATAGTAAATAGAAAATACAAAAATTTTAGGTATTCAAAAAATGGGATTTATCGCGGGGGGGGGGGGGGGTCCTTTATACTTGGACATCATCAAATAAATGGGTTTGACTTTTCCAGAGACTGTTAACATGACGGACCTGATTGAAAAACAGAAGGAAGTGATGGAAATGTTAGAGTCGAGAAACATGAGTTTGGATTGGTTATCCACAGTACCTAACGTCAACCTTGACAACGCTGTAAACGTCATGTCGGCTCTGTTCAGTGGCAATCTTACAGGGCTTAACGAAACGTAAGCCACTTAGAATAAAGAATAAATCCATTGAAATTTATCTTTTTTTATTTTCATAATATACAGAGGAATTATTTTATACCCTGCGTGATATGTACTCACATAGACGGTTTGTTTAGAACTATCCTGCGTGGTTTGAACGAGATCCAGAATTTCACCGAGATGATTATCGGGAACAACAGTCGGTTCATCATGGACTCGATTGATGGCACCATGGATATTCTGTCCACCGTGCTGGATGCCATGCTTGGTATCTGGCTTCCTCACTTATGCTTCTTATTGATCTTTTTCGATTGAATCTCGAAAAGAAAATCTGTATGAATAACACTATGGTCTCTGGGAAATAATGGTACATAATGTATATGATTTGTACTTTTAGAACTAGAGAAGAGCTTAAATTCAACCTTTGTGTACAACCAAGATATAATGGATGCCTTTACAACATTAATTGAGAACGGACCGAACCTGACAAAATCCGTGGTTATGGAGTTCATAGAACCACATAATTTATTGGTATTGTCCTTTTTAATAGATACAACATTTTTAAAAAAAACTTTGACAACTTACAATTAAAAAATGTTTTCCTATGTTATAACAATAAAAAGTTTCTTTTTCGTTGTCAATTGTTTCTTCCTAAGACTCATGTGAAATGTTTTATGCCATTTTTTCCTTATTTTTTTTTAACCAGGCCATAGTAAACAACACCAAAGACTACCCTGCTATTTGTAAACAGATTGTGGAGAAGAGTCTGCCTTCCAAAAATAGCCACGCCCACATCTCAAAATTGGAAAACAGTCTATGTAGTCACAAAATTACCAAAAACATTGAGACTAGTATGCAGATGTGGGAGGATGTGTTTAATAAACAGGTGCGCAGTTGCAGATTTAAGTTAAACATAAGCATCAAACAGTAACACATTACATCACGTTACATCTTCCATCTTCTGTACCTGAAGTTTGCGTATGCCATACATTTCCACGAAAAAGGCAGTTCTGCAAGTTATTGCCAAATTCCTTGAGAATTAACTGTCTTCTTCTATGATTTTTTGTCCTTGCTAATATCAATATTTTTATTTCCATTTTAGATCCAGCCTATGATAGACAATGTTGTAAACGGTACTGTCAGACGTGTGGAAATGGCCACGATCTACCAAAAGGCCAAAGCCCTTGTCTCAGGGGTGGATGAGCTGTACGGGAGGGGGAGCGTGTGGGAATCTATATTCTTGAGGATGAGTCGTCCCTCCATCGATCCTAGGACTGATGAATGGCAGGCATTCTTCAGAGACACACAAACATATCTCATCCAGGGAAGGTACAACCGTTTTCTCTCTCTCTCTCTCTCTCTCTCTCTCTCTCTCTCTCTCTCGTATCCTCAATGACACATTAACCAGACTGGTTCAATGCAAAGTATGTGATTTACATGCGATTTAGTCAAATATTTGGCATTAATGCTTATTCTTCCTGATTGCAGTTGGCCAGTGGTAGTTGTCATGACTGGGCAGTACCTAGAGAATTCACCGATGTGGAACACTATTGGTCCAATAGTAAAATCCATCAGTGTAGTCATGCAAAACCAGATGGAGCAAAATAGAAAAATCGAAGGTATAATATGTATAAAGTATGGATATAAATGATATTATTCTATATTCTGTTGGTTTTGATTTTTTTAACACCCCTCGGTAAAATTTATACTTTTTCATCATCCATTTCAGAACTAACTCGAGAAAACTCAACTATGATGACCCTCATGAAATTTGTGGTTAACTATTCTCCTGAAATCGCAACAGCTACCATGAAAATGATGCAGAATGCTACTATGGTATCTAAATAAATTATATCTGCTTGATTGAGACACTGTCATATTTGTTTTCACTAAAATTATCTTTATCACAAAAACAGTTATTTACAAATATTGTCTTTTATTTTTGTAGATCCAGACTTTAGCCACACAGGGTTTTACATTGGAATCTTTTTGTGACAACCACATGCTGAAAGAAATGGGAATGCCTAGTTATGTACCAGTGGATACTGTAGAAAACAAGATATGTACCACTAACTGGACGGCCATGATGACAGAGGTGGTGTCTATTGTTGACACAAGCTCAATGAGTGCAGAGGTATGTGTTATGGGTTTTTACTTTGAGAGAAATTTATCAGAATTTGCACTATTTTTATTTGGATGATTTTGGTGGCAATAATATTTTTTTATGTTAACAAATTATACTGTATACAATGGGGTTATGAATCATTTCAGTTGTCAAAAAATTGAATGCTACCAATTTTACGTAATTTCTGCCACATTTACTCAATTGCAATTCAGGAGAAGTAATATTGGAAGGGGGCACTTTTTTCGAGAATAATCTTTAAATTTAGCGCCCCCCCCCCTCCCTTTTTAATTTGTCGAAAAGAGGGGAACAACCCCCACCCACAAAGAAAAAGGACATCAAGTTTGGGCTTTTTCTGCTTGTCAACGTTTTTTCAGGCACTTCTTTGGATTTTCAATTATTTCTGACACCCCCCCCCCCCTGCCCAACCTTCCTTGAAAAACGCCAGTCCTTGGACATGTTGGGGTTGCACAATTTTTCAATTTTCCCAAATTTAAAAAAAACACAGGCTTAATTTATCAATTTTGATAAAATTTGATAATTTAAATTTATCATTTTTTCCCTAATTTTAAAAAAAAGCAGAGGTTTAAAGAATGATCGCCAAATGATTCCTCGTGATTGACACGTCGTTCAATATCAGGCGAAATAGAGTTTCTCAACCGGTATCTTATATTCGGTGTTTTCTCTCGAAACTGCATGGGAGAGAAATGGGAAGACAAAATTATACGTAAATAGATTTAGATTTCCACATTACAAAGGGATTTTTAGTTCCCTTATATTTATTTTCATAAAAATTTGTCGACAAACCAAACCCATAGTTTTATTTGGATCGGGTTTGAAATTCCGATTTTGCGGGTAGCCTAATGCAAAATCATGTTGACTTACTAGCAGAAGTTTTGAGAGAAGGGCATTAGTTAGCTCCTGATGATGACGCGGATGCCTTCGAAATTTAATTTTTGTCAAATTTTGTTATCTGTAAATGAAAGTTTAAGTTGGAAAGGCGTTGGATGGATTGATTGATGAAAAGGTATGGGATGCTATCGAAAATATCTCTGATGAATAGAACAGTGTAGAGATTTAAAATCAAGTGTTCATAGACCTTTTTGTTTTTCTAATATCGTACATGTGTTTTGAGAGTAATTTTCTCAATGCTGGGAGCGAGATCTGAACAATGTTCGTTTAACAAACAAAAGAATTGTGCAATGTTAAGCAAAGCTTCAAGTTGACACGTTTCGGTGAAACGTATGACAATAACACTAAACAGACAAAGATTAATGGATATTTGGCGAATACAGTTCTATATGTAAAAATTATCAGTTTGTTTTAGGCCTATTTATGCTGAAAACAGTCATAAAGAGCTAGGTTCACATTATGCATAAAATGGCCCTGTAGACCAGTCTAGACGAACTCCAAAAACAGCGTTTCCAGAAGTAAGAAATTGAGACTGAAAAAGTCTTCGAAAAAAGAGTCCACGCATGCGCACACACACAAAAAATGGCGATTTTTCGGCAAAAATGATGGGTCTACAAAAATTGTCCGTGCAAAGTTTTGGAAAGTATGGCAATTATACCAGTACTCAGAAATGCTAAATAAAAGACTTAGGAAGAGATCGTATTTGTCAGATTTTTGATTTTATTTGCAAAAAAGGAGATATTTACTTTCAAAGTTAACGTTTCAAGTCAGATCAATTATAGAGAAAATGATACGTTTTGAGAAGTAAATATGCATAAAAAAGGGATATATCTGCAAAATGGGACAATATATATTGTAACTGTTAAAAACTTGACTGAATTTTACACATAAATTAGCATTCCGGTTTTTTATTTGTGTACGACATCTGAATTGGACGCGTAAGTTTTTACCATCGTTATTTACCGATTTTTTTATCATATACGAACAGATATTATTATGAACACATTTTTAAAACTATTATCTATCAATATAAAGGCTTTAAAACCCACTCTTCTAGATATTAAGGGCACAACATATCTTCTAAAAATGAACCTGTTAATACTCCTACTCCGTGGTGAAAAATGCCCATTTTCTGATTTAAATAAATACAAGTTGGGTGTCTTCAAAAACAAATAAAAGCACCTTTAGTGTAGGAACGACATAAAATTTAAATCAAGGAGACAATAAATATTTCTTACCGGCAGTATTGAATTTGATGTCGTATATCCAATTCACTCATATGCAAGAGTTTGAAGCGATAAATAAGTCAATATTCACAAAATAATTTAATAAATGCAATTATCCATTCAACAAAAAATAAAATGAAGTAATATTGCACTAGATACAGCCATTATGCAGCCGAATATTTGGAGAAAGCGAACGATAATCCATCGTTTGTTTACATCGGACGCCATTTTGGCGCAATGCATGATGAAGCCAAAGACTTCGTTTTCGGAGTTCACGCTGTTTTTGGAGTTCGTCTAGACTGTAGACATGGTAGATATACCAATTTATTGACTAATACCCCATGTACCATTTTCAACATTAATATAAAGTAGAGACTTAGTGCTTACAGTTTATACAACAGAATTTCCTTTGAAGAGCCCAGGCATTGAAAAACAGGTTGTGTGAAATTGCAATGTTATTGAATTTCGCAGAAAACAGGTGTTTTTGAAAACCTTCAGCAAAGAATTAAAATATGAGCACACCCCTCGATCCAAAAATTAAAATATGTTTTATAATCTTCATTAACAGTTCTTTTACAATATATTTACACATTTTGGATCGGAGGTTGTGCTGTATATGAAATATTGAAAAATGGCATCATAATTTGGCTATTTTTGAAGAAATATTCAGGATATGTGAATGATGACGCAATTCATGACGTCATAATACATTGACTAGAAAGAATATTACGTCATTTTCAGTAGATATTCATTCACCAAGTGCTCAAGTATTATTTATTGCCTTGTTGACAAAAACTATACAGTTTCGAATTTTCAGAAATTCACGGGCCAAAAAAGGCCCTAAGTGGCTCTTGCTCTTTACAGGGCAAAAAAAGCTATGAATATTGAAAATCCACTTTAGAACAGGTGCGGGTTAAAAAATATATCAGATAATTAAAAGTTATAACTTTCATAGATATATGTATTAAAGGTAAATGTGTCAAAATACGGTCTACTAATTGCTAATTCTAATAAGCTTACTGGGGCTTTGCTCCCAGGCTTACATTAGACATTGTCCTTCACCAACTTGGGACCTCGAAGGTGCCCAGACCCCTTGCATCTAAACCTGGCCTGGTTTGTCACATTTTTCTCCTCTCCTGTTACATTTGGTGCTGTGCCATGCTCTGAAATTGACAGGTAAAAGACCTGCCAAGGAAGAGCCTGGGTTTGTGTCTTCTGGGGCAGAGAGCTTTAAGGAGGGAGGAATGTGGCAGTCAGATGGATTTGATCACCGGTGGCCAGATAGCTCAGTTAGTAGAGCACCTGATTAAATATTCAGGGGGTCAGGGTTCGAATTCTGGTCTGGTCTGTCTCATTTTTCTCTTCTGCTGTTACATAATATTTATGGCTAGAATAAAAAATCTTTATCTTTTGTACAGCTGTATATTTATATCCCAATTAGGATATTACATACATGTATAAATGAGTTATTATATCCCAACCTGATGAATATGGTTATTTCAAGTCAAGCAAATTTTATTTATACAGTTTAAGAAATAAATATGAGCTAAGATAGCTCTTTAACCAGCTTTACTCATGTGTTTACCTAAATTACTGGATCACAATGTAAAATTATTTTAAAGATTCCATGGAGTACTATGCTGAACAAAAAAAGATGCCATAAATTGAATGATAATTAAAATGCTATCATTTTTCAAAAAATCCTGACCAAGTGTTACCTTTGAATTTTGTTTGATTTATGATTTCTTTTAAATGTACATTTTTTTAATGTTGATATGCTAATTTGATGTAAGAAGCAGATTTATTTGAATTGATTTTTACAAAAATCTCAAACATATTTTTACTAAATTCAGATTACAAATTATGTGACCAACAAGAACGCCAGCACAGATGTTGATTGGGCCCAGATGGTATACAATATACAGAGTATGGTGTCAATGGAGCAGAACCTCGTGTCATACATGATTGAATCCATGTTGATGTCCTTTAATTTCAGTAAAATAAGTGAAACTATGGAGGTGGTGATGAACCAAATAACGGAGCCAATGATGATATCCAACATGGCATCTAACATGAGTGTTCAGAATCTTATGAGGTATAGCCAGCTTGTAGACTTTAATAGCTATAAATATGAAAATTTTATACATCAGAGGAGTGAGAGTATTCTATGGTGTATTTACTTGATGGTTTATATTCAACATAAATTTTGATAATTTTTTTTTTAAAAATAGCTTGCAAGTATATTCCATTTGAATATTGTCTTAAGAAAAATGATTTTGCAGTCTGAGTGCTGGTTTTGTGCCAACTCTGCAACAACTAGATGTACAGCTAGAAAATGTAACAGAGTGGAAAATGGTGAAGTACTATGTTAATGTGTGGAACAGTATCTCCAAAATGGCTCTGGAATTCCTTCAAGGTCAGGCAAGATTTGCAAATGTTTGCAAAAATTGATCATTAAAATTTTTTTTTATCATTTTTGAAACAAAAAAGAAGTACATGTACAGTGTATTAAATAAAATTACAATAATTGTTCATTTTAATTCTGAAGCTCTGCTTTTTGAACAGATTCCATGTCAGATTTGGATAAATATTTGATGGATTTATCTCCAACTTTTGCGGACTTTTTGAACACTGTAAACAGCTCCACTCCATCACTGTTTAAAGCATTGGAAAGGGTCACACTTCACCCTGGCGTGGTGAGTGAGCAGAAAAAAAACTGATTTAGACTATTTCTACATTCCTACAAATACTGTAAAAGTGGAAACTTTGATGATGTGGAAACCTTGACTAATTTATAACAATTGTCAAAATTTTCACTCATCAACTTTCCAAATCCTTTTAAAGCTAGAGCACTGTAAAATATTATTACTGGTGCATTGTCAAGGTTTTCACTCGCTATATATTTCTAATATACTAAAATCATCAAACTTTCAATCCTTCAAATTGACCACTTTTACAGTATTACAACACCAATAATTTTATATACCGTAAATCTGGAAATTTTTACGGCGATTTATTTTTGCAAATCTGGGTCAAAAAGCTGTTGATTAATTTTTACGTTTCAAAATTTTGCAAATTGTCATTGGCGCTGAAATTAAAAAGCTCTTAGAATTTTCATAACAGTTTATAAGTTACGCATGTACAAACAATATTAAATGAAGCAAAAGTTCCATGATCAGATAAAAATATTAAAAGAGATAAAACATCTTGACTGTTTAAAATATTGAATGTAGTGAAGGAGGATTATCACGGGTAATTAGCTTGTAGTGTAAACGGGTTTCTTAAAATGACCACTGCTTAAGAACACCTGATCACCGGGTTAAAAATAGACACCAGCTGTCAGCCAAATTTTTGTTAAAATTTTTTTGTTGTTGATTTATTTTTAAGAAAAATATTTTTGAGAATGCAATGCACTCGCAAATTTGCTAAAAATTTATCTACAGTAAAAAATTTCAGATTTACGGTAAAAGATAATGCTGTGAAACTGTTAAATAAATATGTTGTTGAGATTTTTCTCTACCTTGGTTTTGACTCTGTCACACAAGTTTTGATTTATGCTTGATTATTTGCATGGTTATAACTTTCATACAACACCAGTGCTTCCACTTAACATTTAATTTCTTCTTGATTGGTCCAATTTTTTTTTCATACAGCTGTTACAGAAGTTGCTGACTACAAACCTGGCTGAGGTATGTCATGGAGTGAGGGTCTCTGATCTCCTCGACAGCCCCTCCCTGGCACCATATGAGGATCACCTGTGTCAGGTAGACTGGACCCAGGTGTACAGGGAGGTTCTAGACAACACTGGTCTGTCAGCAATCTTTAATGACACAGTAAGTTCTGTTCACATCATATGTGTGGCACTGTTAAAGCATTTTCTGAGAAAATTAAGTTCTCTTAATGCATGGAATTGGCTCAGACTCTGTTTATGTTATTGGAGAAAGTGTTGTTGTAAATGTGCTAGACATTTTGTAAACTGTTTCGAAATGTCCTTTCTTCAGAAAATAATATGATATGCACATACAGTAAGTATTTGAACTATTATATAATTTTTTTTTCCTTGAATTAAAAATCTAGTTTATGTTAACAGATGGAAACTGCAATTCATGAAAAAATATATGTCAACTGGAATGAGACATTCCATCAAACTGAGCAGCTGTTTGAAGAAGTCTGGAGAATTCTCTCTCATCCTTCTAACTTAACTTCCACTCTAGACAAATTCTACAATATACAGCTGGGGAAAACCAACATGACATGGGAAAGTCTACTGTCTTTGTATAATACAACACAAAACATGAATTTGACTAAGTAAGTGTAGAAGAGTAGGACTGAAATATTTTATGGATTGACTCAACTTTAATTTACTGTAAACCAACTACATGTATTATTGGGTATGATCAACTTCAGCATCTTTAATTGTCACTGGAAAACCAGGCTAGTGACTACACCAATACTGGTGCTTGAGCTTTGTTATTTTATAAAACTTGACACAGTTAGTTACTGGTTAAGAATGAGCTTGAGTTGCTCAATTCTCACTATATACATTTCTGGCATGTGTATATAAGTTGGTTTACAATACATGTATTAAAAAGTTGTGAATTTTTCTATACACTGTACAACAGAATTGAGACATTTGATGAAATTTTAGGCTTTCCATGAACTGCTCTCTACAATACAGAGAATTTTTTTAAGTCTTATTTTCAGATCTTTTTGTTAATAATTTGTTGTAGGCTTGCAGAATTGGCAAACCAAATTCCAGCAGTTTTAGAAATGTTAAACAAGCTCACTGGGAATTCCTCCATGATTTCATCCTTATTGGACATGCAGCCACAGTTTCTCTACCAGACATACTCCATTCAGCAGTTTATTATCAACCAACTCCAGTATTTTAATGGTATATTTGTCTTATAATATGTTAAGAAGTTACATATATGTAACACATGCATCTTTAATTTTAATTCTGTTTCTATTTAGACACAACACACGTAACTCTGTCTGTATATCTGAACTCCTCTGAGCTGGAGCGACTCTTTAACCAGCTCTCGGATTCTCCAGCAATGAGTGGGGTCCTGTATAGGATTATTGTCAATGTTGTCTTTGATCCCTCAAAGGTAAGTTTGTGTTCATGCAAGTTTGTGTTCATGCATAAAACTTGAATTAACTGTTGTATGAATACTATACAGTCAAACTTTGCTAACTGGAACTTGATATAGCGAAGAAAACAACAGACAGATGTCGAAAAGTTCTCGATATTGAGGTATAAATACAGAAAAAAAGTGGTTGGGACTTCTACATCACTTCAACATATCAGTTGTATTCAAGATATCAATGTTAGAGATATGGAAGTAAAAAAAAAAAACATAGTTTTTATTGATTTGAAATTTTATTTATTTTAAAGATGACAAACCTGACTAGTTCAGTGGACAAGTTCTGTACGGAGCCCGGATTCCTGACTCCTTTTGTGTTACCCAGTGATTTCCAGTCTGCAGAAAAGTTGCGGAATTACATGTGTGACACCGTTAACATGAATGTAACAGCTTTATTACATGAGTTGTCACAAACACATGGCCTTCCTCAATTAATGGAATCATTAGAGGTATATTAGAAATTGTCAAAATTCCTTTGAAAATATGAAATTCCATGTAAATTGCATGCAGGGGGTGGGTTTTTTTATTTTTTTTAGAATATTTGATCGTAGAGTTTGAAATCATCCAAGCCAGTTGTTTTTACTCTAATCATAAGTTTTTTTTGAGCTACGTTTATATTTTAAGATAAATTTTTAAATAAATTAAAATTATTTATATATAAATACTTCTCATTACAGAAGACTGATAACTTTCCCACTATCAACATGAGTTTGATCATTGAACAATCGGAGAAACTGTCCAAGTTGATTACAGACATAATAATTCACCCTCCAACCATCAGCCTCAACGAGAAAGATGCCTGGTTAAATGGATCTCTCTACACAAAAGAGTTCACAGACTTCTTACAGAGACTCACAGACAAAACGACTAGCACAGATATCATTCAGAATGGACAGTATGTACTACATCTTTAATGGATCATATTATCTGAACAAACAGATTCTTAGAAATCTTGCTCCACAAGGGCAGGTAGTCAAGTAAAGTCAGATACATGTATATCTGAGGGACATTAAAAAAAACTCAGACTTTTGTCATAACCTTTTTGTTTAATGTCATATTATGACCAAATTCAGTAGAAATATTTCAATAAATCTGAATAATTTGAAATAAAAAATTCAAATGTATCGTGATATATTTCAAAATTATTTAAAAGATAAAACTGCAAAAATGGAGTCAGGGAACAAGTCAAAATTAAGTAATGTAATCACAATACTCTATAATTTGTCTTAAGTCATATCTCTTTAAAATGGTGTGTAAACAAAATCAAAATTAAATATTCAAATTATATACATTACTAACATCGAAATACTAACATTAGTAACATGGTAACTGATTATATACTTTGTAGATGAATTAATCTGATTGTTAATTTGATGCTGTTTTACAGATTGGCAGAACTATTCCCAGCTATATTAGAGATGATAACTAAGATGACTGGAAACTCCTCTGAATTTTCATCTTTTATCTCCATGCAGTCACAATTCATCTACCAGACGTATTCCATTAATCAGTTCATCATTAAACAGTTGCAGTTTTTTAATGGTACTGTACCTAATTAAGATAATTCAGTATCTCAATGGTTTTATTTGCACATCTAAATGTCTCATATTGCAGTATTTGAATAATGTGATACTTTCAGCCAAGTACTTGTACATATTCATTTGTTCAATTCAGTGATTTCGTTTTCAGATTCCACACACATCACACTAACCACCTATTTAAGTTCCCCGGAACTGACCCGATTGTTGAACCAGATCTCAGACTCGCCAGAAATGAGTGGAGTGTTGTTCAGGACACTGGTCAACATCATGTATGACGCACAGAAGGTGAGAAAATGATGTGTTGGACTGAAGGTCTGACCTTCTTCAGAGTTTGAATCTTTTTTTTTAATGTGCTCTTGTGGAAACATAGAGTCTCTTTCTTTGTTATTTTAGAAAAAGAGTTAAGGATAATTGTAATCTCGTATATTTTGATCAGTGTATGCAAGAAGGATTGGACTCACTACCAATAAAATTAGAATCTAACATTTAATATAATCAGAAATAGTAACCTGTGTGAAAACTGCTATAATGATATATATACTGTGTAGTGTACAATACTGTAGGCCATACGACACTTTTACAGAATTTATTGACATCATGCGATACCGAAATACCTTTTGTATTTTTGCAGACACAATACCTTACAAACAATGCAGAAAAGTTCTGTACAGAAGCTGGTGTATTAAATCCAGTGGTGGATCCAAGCGACATCCAAAAAGCAGAGAAACTGCGTAATTATGTGTGTGATACCCTGAACATGAATGTCACAGCCCTCTGGCATCAGCTGTCAGAAGGCCATGGAATACCACAGCTTATAGAAGCATTACAGGTAGATATAGTCTATTTAGTGTAACAGAATTCATAGCTGAATTGTTTTCATACATTTTGTAGTCAAGAGGCAAACAGCCAATCCCCAACTAGAGCATTACCAGTAAATATTATCAAGATTGGTAAATCACTAGCTAAATTGTGTCAGTACCACGAAACTATTATATGAGTCATAAATATGATTGTATTTTTAGTTGGTTATGATACAACAAAACTAAATGATTTATTATTGTTTAATTGTAGAAGACTGATGGTTTCCCGTCTATCAATACAAGTGTAATCACTGAACAGTCAATGAAGATGTCCAAGTTGATTACAGATCTAATAACTCACCCTCCCACCATCAGCCTGACTGATAACGATGCCTGGTTAAATGGATCTCTCTACACAAAAGAGTTTACTGATTTCTTACAGAAAATCACAGACAAAACAACCAGTACAGACATCATCCAGTATGTCTAAAGCATTGATTCTGAAATTTTATTGTCCATTTTGCTTTTCACAGTTTTCAGTAAATCTTTTTACTGTGGAATTTCAGTTTTTAGATCTAAGAAAACCATTACTTTTGACAAAACCTTTTTTTCTTTCCTTATCAAAGCTCAATAAATAATGAAAGAGTGTGAAAAATTTGAATTGAAATTTAATATATGTTTATTAAAAATATACACACCATAGATTCACTTTTATAAACTGTTAAATGAACTGAATTGTCTACTTTGTAGAAGTTTGATGACAGCTTCCTACCAGAAGCCAATAATTGACTCCATTACTGCACCCCTGGCAAATGTGACAGAGTTCCAGACTATTGTACAGGTCACTGACTGGTTCCTGGTAGAACTCAAAGACAAGATTCTGGCTGGAAGCTCTGGTGAGTCCACAAAGTAAATCTGTATAAGATAGAACCAGGAAGAATCACTTGCATGCATCAGAGCACATATTTAATATTTAGACCATAAAAATGCAGTTATTTCAGGAAAGAAGGGGAAAAAATTTATATTTCCTTGGTAACAATATTTATCATTGTGATTTCAAGATTTAAAAGAACCCATAACTTTATTTAATGATCTAAAGTTGTTAATTACTCATGGAAATTTCTGTATGTTGCAGATGCTATGAAGGATATCATTGCTGAGTTCAAAGGTTATCCACAAATGGAGCGTCTATTGAATCTTCTTGACCAGCTGCCAAGCTTCTACCAAACCTTGCTCTACAACATTGTCCATCATATGGAGAAGGTATGTAGGAGTCTTCATGAATTTCAAAAACATTTGAGTTTTGAAAGTGTAGTTGAACTTTGGTATCTCGAACATTGATATCTTGATTGACATGGTTATGTCAAATGAATTTGAAATCCCAGCCCCTTATTCTTTAAGTATTTTACCTGGATATTTGAAATCCTTGGATATCTCGCAGTTTTTTCTTGGTCCCATAGAGTTGACAAGGTTATGAGGTAACGAGATAACAAAGTTTGACTGTAATAGGAAAGAATGTTCTTTCTCTCTGTTTCAGGTTTCTAAATTGTTTATTGCAGTGTCTAACGGTTGGCATGGGTTTTGTATTGAGACTCTCTTTACATGTACTTTTCCTTGTTTTAGGTGACTCGATTATTTACTGCAGTGTCTAAGGGCTGGGATGGATTCTATAATGAGACAGATTATTTCTTTAGATGTACTTTTCCATGTTTCAGGTGCCTGAATTGTTTACTGCAGTGTCTAAGGGCTGGGATGAATTCTGTAACAAAACAAATACACTGATTTATGATGATCCATCACAGACTTTTAGTGCTAAAGCATTCCTTGGAGAATTGTGTCTGTTGGACTTTGATGAAATGATGACTGAAGTTTCAAGGTTTCAGGTATATATCATACACATGTATGATTATTTACTGATCTTAAATATGAGTGACATTCTGTTTTATTATTCAAGATTCATAGTAAGTGCTCCTAAGAACACAACTTACATATACATAAACTAGACTTAATGAAAACTAAGTAATATTGATCTTTTCTATAATGCCACTTTGTTTATCAGGTGTCCAACAAATCAGCTGCTTCATCTTTGAATGTTAGCGCTGGATTAGAAGACATTATCCAAAAGGTAGAAGACATTGTCAAACTTATGAACACCTCAGCCATTGATAATCTGCCCAAGTTCATGCAGCTGGAAGTCTGGAACAGTGCCTCCTCCATGATGGCGAAATCACTGACAGATCCTCAGATGATGTCCACGTAAGTATTGTAGTAGAGTATTGTAGAGTAGCTAGAGTAAGTATTGTAGTAGAGTATTGTAGAGTAGCTAAATTAGGTATTGTAGAGTAGCTAGAGTAAGTATTGTAGTAGAGTATTGTAGAGTAGCTAGAGTAAGTATTGTAGTAGAGTATTGTAGAGTAGCTAAATTAAGTATTGTAGAGTAGCTAGAGTAAGTATTGTAGTAGAGTATTGTAGAGTAGCTAGAGTAAGTATTGTAGTAGAGTATTGTAGAGTAGCTAGGGTATTTTAGTAGCCTGCTTAGAGTCAGATTTCCTTTGGTTGATTTACAAGGTTGCTGTTAGATCTAACAAATTTTCACGTTTTCTGTCTGACAGTTGGATAAGTGGAGGAGTGAGTAGTCTGACAAGTGTGCTGACCATGATCGATGGAGGTAAACAATTGCTGCAGGTCTTCGATGCCTCGTTCACACTCACAAAAGCTCTTTGGACAAGATTCAGCAATCAGAAAAATGGTAAATCTTGCTTTCTATACTCTTTTTTTTGTTTCAAAAGTGATAATGTCTGTAGCACTTCCCAGTTCTTTTTACCTGATTTACATGAAATAATACAATGAACCTTGAAACATACTCACTTTGTGATTTTACATTACAGAGTCTGTGCTAGACCTGATGGTTCTGCTGAATGGAGCAAACAATACACAGAAATTGTGGAAATTAATACAACAACCAGGTTCTATTGAGGTTCTCATCCACTCAGCCAATACACCACAGGTACTGTAAAAACATTACAATAAAAGCTGGAAAAAATATATGTCATAGATGAAAGGAAATCTAAGGTAGAAGTTAGAATTACATTATTTAAATAAAATGTAATAAGATGTTTTTTGTAAGGGTACTTTTTTGACAGAATTCTGATCCAGAATGTAGAATTAGAGAAGTAAGATTAACTGTGTTTTCTTTGTAGTTTAACCAGCTTGTTCAGAAGAACATGACTGAGGCTCTGCTGGACCTATGTGATCCATCTAGAGGAATGTTTACTCAGATCTTCACTGTGCCGGCTGGAGTTATGGCCAATAGGACTGACCTACAGAGAAGACTGTGTACAGTCAATCTCACACAGCTGGCCACAGAGTGGGAGGATATCATAGATCTACACACTGTTAAACTCATGGTAAGATAAAAAAACAAGTAACCTAGTTAAATGTTTAGTTTATTTAGTTACAAAGGCATAGCAATCATTTCCTTAAACACAAGGTGGTGAAAATGTCCTATATTTTTTATGTAAAATAATCAAGGTACCGGTAATATGTGAAATCATTTTCAACTTAAATGATTATTACAAGTGCACAGTACCATTCTCCATTGTGTAATTAGGACTTCTTGGCAAAAATCTGTATCATCATTATTGTAGGTATGTTGTGTTATGACTAACTAATTTTTTTTATGCAGGTGGATCCAAGTCACCAACCCTCCCTGAACTGGACAGAGGTCACCTTATTCTTTGATGAGATGACTAAGACTATATCAGAGTGGCTGGTACATCCACCTCTAGTGACTGGTTATCCCAGCAGATGGTCAAATGAATCCTATTGGCTCAACTTGTTGATGCAACAGCCAGCTTCCTCTGGATCATTGTCCAACATTACCACTCAGTAGGTCACCACATACTTTAGCAGAAAACCTATATACATTTATATGCATGAAATTATGGTTAAATATTTTATGGGGATTTCCATTTTAAATAACTGAGTATAAATAGAATATTTTTGCACTTTTTATTTCTACTCTGAAGGTTGAAAAGCATTCTGGATGCCATGTCACCATTCTTGGACCAGGAGCCAATCAAAACATATGGTTTGTTTCTGGAAAAATTGCTCAATTTAACCAATCATGAATTAGATATGATGGCAGGTAGGAACTTCACAAACTTACAGGACCTGGTGCATTATGTCCCTGCCCTTGAGAAGTTAATGTTAGCATTGAATCTGAGTGAGGAAACAGCAGAACAGTTAATGATGGCTCCTATTAAAAACCCGTCAGAGCTTGTTAAGATACTGACTAGTGACCAACCTCTAAACATGCTTTGCTCTGCAGATTTCTGGCAAAAACTTGTCTCCTGGTCCAATAGTTCCAGTCCTGTGTCGTCAGTGCTATGTCATCTGAACGAATCTGACGTAATTAAGGTCATCATTGACTCACTCAAGGTAACAGACCTTGTCAAAATTCTGGAAAATGAGACATCAACAGAGAAACCAAATTGGATGAATATCATTGATGAAGTCATGCATATGGTGAAATCTGTCGAAATATTAATCAGCAATTCCTCCTTCCATCTAAATATAGAAAGTGCTTTTGACAATGTAATGAAAGCTTACACAACACAGAACAGTGTTGATGATTTCACCGCCCTGTTTAAAGTATACAGCGAGCTGGCTCTGATGTTCAACAACACAGAGATTTGGCAGAAGGTGAATGAGTTCTTACAGACAGGGGAGATATTGATGACCTCGGCAGTCAGGTTCATGGACCGACTGGTCACTCTGGACTCCAGTGATCTCACAGGAATGATCCTAGGCTTGATGAAGCCATATAAGGTACAGTGGCTTTATTCTTTCTGGATATACCCAGGAGTGTAAATGTGCTTTTTGTACTTCACTGCCTTCTTTTGTTTTATCCAAGTTAAATAATCTGTACATACACTTTACTTCTGATACATATACTGCAAATAGTTGTAAATGTTCTGAACTGGCCAAAATTTTATTTTAATGAAAAATAAGTAAGGAGACAGTACCCAGTCTCATTTGTAACGGATGTTTTGGGATGACTAATTAGTGAATTTGAATATTTCTATCATCATGCATTTAGAAAGACATTCATTCGTTGTGAAAATCTGAATGACATTTCTGAAATCAGAATTTCTTACAGCTTTCAGACCTGTTTACAAAGGAAATGGATTTGTGGGGTGTGTACAACTTAACATGTAATGCCACAGCCTGGAGAGAATTGTTTCATTTTGCTCCAACCACCAATGTGACAGCTTTGGCCAATTTAGCATGCTTTATGAATAAAAAAGAGGCTTCCCAATTTATTACAACTCTTATGATGGTAAATACTATAATTTTAGACAAAAAATAATCCTGCTATTTAACAATTTTGATTCATGATTATCAGACGAAATAGTTTGGATGATATGTTGAAATTTTTTTTTTTGTTTTACAGAGAAATCAAAGCCTTCCTGCAGTTGATATTCAACAATTCTTGAAGACAGTAGAGAAGTTTAACGATAAGTTTGCGATGTTGCTGAATGGTTCCAGTCACATGGTTGACATCAACATGACATCATTTCTACAACGGCTGCAACAGGAAGTGGCAGTACTCTCCAGTACAACGTCCCCACTTATGATGGAGAGGTAATACAATCATTGACAAATTTATAGTAATGCAATACAGGTAAACTTTGTTATCTCGACATCGACGGGACCATCGGAAAATGTCGAGATATCCGAGGTGTCGAGATAGAGTTGAGACTTGACGTCCAAGATTTCATTGCATAGCAAAACAGACAAGCTTATTATATGTACATGACTTTAATATAGACTGTAGCTCAACATATTTCAGAATTCCCTCTATTATTAAAAATCTAGGAAGTTATTTTAAAAATTTTGTTTATAAAACGTGTTCTTTATCGAAATCTTTCTCAATTCACAAAGTTTCAGCACAAAGTTACAGCATTGAGCTGCATTCGCGTGTTACTTGCCTTTTCATCAGAACAGGATACGAAATGCGCTCTATAAACTTCGAACCGTATAAAGTCGACATCCGATATACGGTAAAAAAAAATTGAATGCGGATTATTTTTTTCTTATTTCATTCTGGAAGAATGTACATTAAAATTAATTTTTTTAAAGAGATTTGTGTATCTAAACTAACATAGTGATGTTGCACGAATTACGGCTGATTCGGTCAATCGTGTCATTAATTGGATTGTTTCCTGTTGAATACATTTTAACTACAAAATATCAAAACATTTTTTTTTAATTCCTTAGTTTGAATTTTTCAGTGTGTTTGTTATTCATGGTAATTTAGTTATCTTTTTCAAATTTAAAAGTTATGTTACGTTTCGATATAAATAACATTCTGTACATTTACGCAGAATCGTGTAGATTTAGCAATGATATTACCCAAGCTCAAATAACTTCTCAAAGACGCCGAAGGGGCTTGATATTCACCTAAAAACACAGTCTATAAAATTAATTAGGCAGCGTGCAGTCAAAACATGGGTGTGAAACTTTGAGGACGTTGAGATACCTGGAGTCGTCCGTGCGTGATGAGAGACCCTATCTGACAAACAGTTAGGTTCAGTAGAGCAGAAAATTGCCGATGTCGACATATGCCAGGTAAATTTTGCACTTGGGACTGTGAATATACGTCGAGATAACCCGGGTTGTCGACATTACCGAGGTTGACATAGCAGAGGTTTTGCAAATCATTTATATAGTAAATACTGCCGGGACCGCGGAATGATGTCGACATATCCCAGGTTGTCGACATATCCGATGTCGAGATACCGAAGTTTACCTGTATCTATTAAAGTGATTTGAATTTGGGGGTTTGTAGAAAAATGGATGTATATTCAAGAAAGTTTTCAGTATTATTTTTCTTTTGAAATTCTTGTTATATGAGCTGATTTGGAATATTTCAGCCTAGATAAATATTTTACTGCTATGAACTCGTCAGACTGGGGAGAAGTTACAGCTGTGGTGAATGGAATGTCATTGTGGCTCAAAATGTTGGCTTCTAAACTGGAAAATATTGCAAGTATGTTGTTTTAATTCAGTTTATGGTTTAGTCTTAATACATGTACCAGGTACATGTATTTTAAAGAAGTTCACATTCAAAATACATAAGATATATCCAAAAATGTTCATTAAAAAGAGAAATGTTTTATGATGGTAAATATCAGGCTTTATTATGCTTGTTCTGTTCAGTTCTGTTTCTTCATAAGGCCAAATAAAAAAATGTGTGTGGTTCCGGTTACCCGACCGTCCCTATTTTATACCCCCGACCCTAAACTTTTTTCTGACAATTTTCATATTTTTTTCTGGAATTTTCCCAGATTCCTATCAATGGCTCCGGTTTAAGTTTTAGTTTCAGCAATGACGGCCTACTTGCAAAACATAGTGCAAATGTTTAATAGTGTTAAATCCAAAGCAAGCTAGCATGTAGGTTTCCCCTACTAATATTGACTAGTATATTATCTCACCACATCTAAATGCCATTTGCAGAGCAGTGATCGGTATTATTTAGAAAAAATTTTTTAAAAAAATCATTTTGTTTAAAAAAAAAAAAAAAAAAAAAAAAAAAAAAATCCCGACCTACCTACCCTAATTTTTTTGGAAGTGTAACCGGAACCACACATTTTTAGCTCACCTCGACGAAGTCGAGATGAGCTTATGCTATACCCCCGGCGTTGGTGTCGGCGTTAGCGTCGGCGTCCTGGTTAAAGTTTTAGGAGCAAGTCCCATTCCCAAGTTACTATAAGCCCTACCTGGACCAAACTTGCATGGATGATGCATCTAGAATGGACACTGCCACACTTGCTTCGGATGCTGGATCTGACCTAGATTTTCCAGATGAGTGACCAGGTTAAAGTTTTTGGAGCAGGTCCATTCCCAAGTAACTATAAGCCCTACCTGAACCAAACTTGCATGGATGATGCATATAGGGATGGACACTACCACACTTGCTTTGGATGCTGGATCTGACCTAGATTTTTCCACATGAGTGACCAGGTTAAAGTTTTTGGAGCAGGTCCATTCCCAAGTAACTATAAGCCCTACCTGGACCAAACTTGCATGGATGATGCATCTAGGGATGGACACTACCACACTTGCTTCAGATGCTGAATTTAACCTAGATTTTCCAGATGAGTGACCAGGTTAAAGTTTTTGGAGCAGGTCCATTCCCAAGTAACTATAAGCCCTACCTGAACCAAACTTGCATGGATGATGCATCTAGGGATGGACACTACCACACTTGCTTCGGATGCTGAATCTGACCTAGATTTTCCAGATGAGTGACCAGGTTAAAGTTTTTGGAGCAGATCCTTTCCCAAGTAACTATAAGCCCTACCTGAACCAAACTTGCATGAATGATGCATCTAGGGATGAACACTACACACTTGCTTCGGATGCTGAATCTGACCTAGATTTTCCAGATGAGTGACCAGGTTAAAGTTTTTTGAGCAGGTCTATTTCCAAGTAATTATAAGTCCTTCTTAAACCAAACTTGTATAGATATTGATCTTGGGATGTACACTAACTAGAAAAAATATGATGTGAGATTTGCCTTACTTATAGATAACCTTCGTCGAGGTGAGCTTCGTAATCTTTGATTACCTATGTTTTTGTTTGGCCTAATAGTATTTTTATACAGACTTGGATACATGTATTTAATTGAATTTCTTTACACAGATCAGCCCCTGAGTCTCTCAGTGATCCTGGGTGGGGCCAGTACAGACCCTACAGTGAAGTTTATACTGAGTAATGAATTCCTGAACAGTATAGGGGATATCAAGGTTAACCCTCAGAAGGTAAAGAAGTCAGAGTCCAGGAGAGCTTGTACAGTTGTTATTTTTTTTCTCTGTGAACAATTAAATCAAAATTTTACTCCTCATAATTTTTTTTATAATAATGATAAATTTTGTCTGAACACAATAAAACATGGTATGAAATTAAACCAAAACTGTAGGAGGAGTACCATTTGAAAGAATTATTTCATGCATTTATCTATTTTTAATAACAATGACAACACAATTCATCAATACCTGACATACAGAATTACGTGTATTCATGTAGAAGTTCTTATATTCTACTTGTGTAAAAATTGGACATTAAGTTTAGTAAACATTAGACACATAAAACTAGAAAAATGTGTATCAAGTTCATGTGCTAGTAGTAGAGCTACAGTCTCATCAGAGACTTCTAATTCTATGCAATTTTATATAGGAGTGATGGGGGGTTCAGAGACTTCTAATTTATATAGGAGGGGTGGGGGTGGTGATGGGGGAGGATCACATTCAGTGTTTATGACTGAGTATTTGTATTCTTGTTACAGTTGTCCTCAGCCCTTCAGAATATGAATGACTCGAGCCATGTGTGTGCGGCAATCCTACTGTCTCTATCCACCCCTGCTAACAATGCCACCTTGCTCCACCTCCAGAATTTACTCTGCAGCCTTAACCAGTCCTCTGTACTAGAGGCAGCTATGACTGGGTTCCTGGCCAATCATCAGTTTGCTAAACAAGTAAGTCTACTGACAAATTATTTTTTGTAAGCTTAGATGTATTCCTTGTTTGTTTGTACAAGTAGAATATGAGACTGAGAGAAGTGCTGAAGATTGATGGGGCTGTGATGTTGACTTTTTTGGAGATGAATGGGGCAAAAAAGTTACAACTTTTTGTTATGGAAATTTTGTTTTTGCTTTAATTTTGCAAAATAAGATAAAGAAATAGAAACAATTATTAAAATAGAATTTTTTCAGTATCTTTATTTAGAATGTGGATATTTTTTAGTTTGAACGTTTTGGTTTTCTTATAAGATATAACACATCTTTCGTTTCAGTTCCAGGCTGTGATAGATGAATCTATGAGTGGACAGTCTGCCCTGAACATGAGCGCTTATAGTGAGGCTGCAACAGAGTTCAACATGGCCATTCAGCACCTCGTCATGAAAAATTGGACAGGGCAGAGTCTGGACAACATCTTCAATATGTCTGCACTGCTGAATTCTATCCAGCGATTAGAACAATCATTCCAAAATGAAATGAATGAAAATCTTCTGAAAATGTTAGTTTTTTAATCAGTCTTAATTGTTAGCCTGTCTTTTTCACATGTAATTTCATTGGATCAATTTTGATATGATGATTTAAATTCTACTATTGAATATGTAAATCTGATTAGATATAGGTCTAAACTTTATTTTAGAATTTTTTGTATTTTGTTGAGTTGTGTTTTCAGGGCACCAGTCTTACTGCAGTCAACACTAGGAGCTGTTCCAGACCCAGCAGTCGCTAAAACTGTCAAGACAGTCAACATGTTCCTAGAGTTTGCCAATGATAAACTGAGGTTCTTAAAAGGTAAAAACAGACAGAAATCATGGCTACATTACAACCTGTAGAGGAATTCAAAATACTGGATATACATGTAGTATTTTGCTGAACTTAAAAATTATTAGGGCCCATTATCAAGGTGCTGTATAGTAATCATTGACATGTATGTTGAGGTTTTCTCTTGTCTTTTTTATAGGATCTTTGGGAATCAGCAATGTCTTCCAGAACTCCTCTGCCTTGATAGATTACTTCAATGCTGTGCAGAAACTGACAAACAATGGAATTCAAGAAGTCCAGAAAATGAATTTTACCCAGGTACATGTTTAAGCATTACTGGTGGTGTAATTCTTATATTTGTATGTATCTACAGTGTCCAAGACATTTTGAGCTGTCAATCTGACAGAGTGAAATTTGCATGATAAATACTGGTACACAATTTTATCTGAAGTAACGGACTCTTGAAATATACTGTAAATTCCTTATTTTACGCGAGTACTTAATATCGCGAAATGGCCCAAGGGCGTCAAATCGCGGGAACAATAATTCGTGAATCGGTGATTTTTCTAGAGATTTTACATACATTAAAGCACCATAAAAATAAAAGCGAGTAATTTTATTTCGCGAGTGGTGCTTCTCGCGTAATTACGCGATAATTTATTCCTCGTGTATATTTAGGAATTTACAGTAACTGATCACAATTCTTTACATGGTATATATCTGTAAAATGTTACATTAGCTATTCTTTTGGGGAATACACTGTACATCCTGCAGTTCACAAGTTAACCTGTTTTCACTTTTGATTTCCAGCTGATAGATTCTTTGATGAATGTTGGTTCTATTGAGAACCACTGCACACATGGGACAATCGGCCCATACTTTGGATTGACACCAGATTCCCCATGGATCCCCATTCTGTGTGCTGATTATGATCAGCTTTTAAATTCTTTAGATAATCTCACAGATTCTTCGTCCATTTCAAAACAGGTAGGAATTAAAATTGATATATTTGAAAGACTTTTTAAAGAGAAAAAAAAGTGTATTTTCATTAGATACTAAGGTAAATGATAAATGTCCTTGGGATAAAGTTTAAATTACTTATTTTGAATTCTTTTACACAGATCATGTGAGATTTAAGACAAATTTTCATTCTATTGTGTTTTGTAACATATTTTTTCTTCCCTGTGAAGTTGATGGACATTTGGAATGCCAGCAGTGCTGTTGTGGTAGACTGGGGTGACCTCAGTAAAAACATGGACACCTTTAGCTCCCTACTGACAGAGCTGGTCAAGACCCCGCCCAGTTTCACACTGACCACTTTCCTAGACACCAACCACACCATGAGCATAATCTCAGAGTACATCAACAACCCTCAAAGGTAGGGAGGGGGTGTATTCCATAAAGCTAAGAATCAGAGATGTAGCTATTTCCTAATTGAAAAACAGGGATCCATATTCCTATTTTCAAGAAGTAAACACAGATATTTAAAACAAAGAAAAATCTGAAAAGGTTTTTACCTATTCTAAAAAAAATATGACATAATTTTGTAAAATATTTATTTTAGGATTGTTGAGTTTATGCTACAGACCAGTATAATGGACAAGCTTCCCCCAGTACCGGAATCTTTCAGAGGAATGTATAATGTCCTTACAGAAATGTTGGCATTTTTAAATGGTCAGTACCAAATACACATTCTGTTGTCCTGATTTAAGTAAGCTGTTTATGTTGAATGTAGGATATTCAAATGTTTTAGTAATTTTGCTTCCATTGATTTTGATGAAATCACAGAATTCTGCAAAATTGGACAATTCAGAAATTCACTGTTTTTAACATAACTTATTGCACTCTTGTTGTAGACACACAGAATGTGAATGGACTTGCAGATATCTTCAGAACTTGGTCTTCACTGAATACTCGATATGAACTGGCTTCTAGTCGCTTCAATAAGCTTGTCATCTTGGTGAGTAGAAGTGCCTTTTCATTAAAGTAATTAACATACAATCGTGCAATTTTTAGCATACCAAAATGCATGTATCTTTATTAAAGAAAGTGATGAAGCTTCACTACATTATATGTGAATCTTTCTTATTTAAGTGTACAGTGTTGTATGGGGAATTAAAATTTTAATGTGAAGTGTCTTTTTACAGAACAAGTATTCATTAGTTTCAAGATAAAAAAAATATTGATTCTTAATCTGCATATGATTTTTGTCTTAGCTTGAGGACCACCAGAAGATGTCAGAATTCTCCTCTGTTTTCTGTACCCCTGGAATACTATCTCAGCTCCAGAATTACTTTTCTAACAATACCAAGATAGTATCGGATATTTTGTGTACTAAGTCAGTAGATTCCTGGTACAACGAACTACAGAAAAACTCCATGTCACAGGACATTTTCACCAATTATGTAAGTTTTGTATAATCAGCAAATGTAATCACTGATTTATTTCCATTGGCACTTCTTACACATCACTTCATATCATTCAATGCAGTCAGTAAATATCTTCATTTTAAAGTGTGTTCAATCATGCAAAACTGATTTTATATGTAAATCTTGAAAGAAATTTGACATGAGTATGGAAAACCATGTTTCACAAATTAATGCAGGCAAATGAAATATGTCATGAATTAACTCCAGCTCTTTTATTTCTAGATACTGGCTATATACTACACAGAGACAGGTGTAGAGCTGATCCCAGATCCAGTACCAGTAGCCTGGAGTGAGATGCTTAACGAGGTCAAAAAGGTCATGACAGCCTTGACCTCTGGAAATCAGAGGGACTGGGAAACTTTCCTCAACCAACAAACCTCTGTCAACGACACCATTCAACAGTAAGATAATCTACACAATAAATTTTTCTGTTTTATAGAGGTAACAGGTGTATGTGATACATCATTACATCATGTCTATTTATAGAATTATGGACTGGTTGAAGTTCTTTGAACAAGAGTTTCACATGGGTATTGGAGAGTTCTTCAGTGTGTTTGTGCCAATCAGTAACATGTTCAACAAGCAAATTGATAGAGTCAAAGGTTTGTATTTGACGAAAGAATTTTGTGTCTGTGTGTGTGTTAGCAGCTGAAATTACAAATTCTTTATAGTCCATAGCAGGCCATGTCTTTTCTGTGCATTGGTGCAGTATTCATATTCCTTGTCACTATTGAGTTCTGTTTTTTCAGGTTTTGGTCACAATATTTCCCTTTCTGCATTCCTACCTGTAAACAACACACATCTGGCTAGTTTGATCGGTGATGAAATAAATCACCCTTCAGCTGCTATCCTTGTGTCAGCTGTGGTCGCCCCAGAAATGGTATGAAATACATCACATTTCTTGGGATCAGGTTTTTAGGTCACCTGAGTCACTCAGGTGACCTATTGCTATCCGTTCTCGTCCGTCGGCGTGCGTCGTGCGGTGTGCGTCGTGTGTTAACATTTGAACATTTTTAGCTTCTTCTCTGAAACCGCTTAACCAATTTCAACCAAATTTGGCATATAGCACCTATGGGTGAAGGGGAACAAAAATTGTGAATTTCATGGTCCCTGCCCCCCTGGGGCCTGAGGGGTGGGGCTAAAACCACCAAAAATAATGCAATCTTTAAAAATCTTCTTCTTTACTCCTGGACATCAAGCAGTCAAACTGTTGGCATCATTGTAATAAGCATTGAGTCCTCTACCAAAATTGTGAAATTCATGGCCCCAGGGTCAGGGGTTCTGGTGCTAGGGTGGGGCTATATAGATCATATAGGGAAAGTGCATTATTTCTTTGAAAATCTTCTTCTCTGCTCCTGGGTATTAAATAAAGTATCTAAGTACATAGTTATGAAGAACAAGAGTGCCTCTTTCAAAATTGTGAAATTCATGGCCCCAGGATCAGGGGTTCTGGTGTTAGGGCGGGGCTCTATTGATTATATAGAGAAAATGCATTAATTCTTTGAAAATCTTCTTCTCTGCTCCTGGGTATTAAATAAATTTACTAAGTATATAGTTATGATGAGCAAGAGTGCCTCTTTCAAAATTGTGAATTTCATGGCCCCTGGGTCAGGGGTTCTGGTGTTAGGGCAGGGCTCTATTGAGTATATAGTGAAAATGTATTAATTCTTTGAAAATCTTCTTCTCTGCTCCTGGGTATTAAATAAAGTAACTTAGTACATATTTATGATGAGCAAGAGTGCCTCTTCCAAAATTGTGAATTTCATGGCCCCAGGGTCAGGGGTTCTGGTGTTAGGGCGGGTCTCTATTGATTATATTGTTAAAATGCATTAATTCTTTGAAAATCTTCTTATCTGCTCCTGGTTATTAAATGAACTAATTTAGTACTTAGTTATGATGAGCAAGAGTGCCTCTTCCAAAATTGTGAATTTCATGGCCCCAGGGTCAGGGGTTCTGGTGTTAGGGCGGGGCTCTATTGATTATATAGTGAAGATGCATTAATTCTTTGAAAATCTTCTTATCTGCTCCTGGATATTAAATGAACTAAGTTAGTACATATTTATGATGAGCAAGAGTGCCTCTTCTGAAATTATGAATTTCATGGCCCCAGGGTCAGGGATTCTGGTGTTAGGGTGGGGCTCTATTGATTATATAGTGAAAAGGCATTAATTCTTTGAAAATCTTCTTCTTTGCTCCTGGGTATTAAATGAACTAACTTAGTATATAGTTATGATGAGCTAGAGTGCCTCTTTCAAAATTTTGAATTTCATGGCCCCAGGATCAGGGGTTCTGGTGTTAGGGCAGGGCTCTATTGATTATATAGTAGAATTGCAATAATTTTCTCTGCTCCAGGGTATTAAGTACATAGTTATGAAGAATAAGAGTGCCTCTTTCAAAATTGTGAATTTCATGGCCCCAGGGTCAGAGGTTCTGGTGTTAGGGTGGGGCTCTATTGATTATATAGTTAAAATGCATTAATTCTTTGAAAATCTTCTCTGCTCCTGGGCATTAAATAAAGTAACTTAGTACATAGTTATGATGAGCAAGAGTGCCTCTTCCAAAATTTTGAATTTCATGGCCCTTGGGTCAGGGGTTCTGGTGTTAGGGCAGGGCTCTATTGATTATATAGTAGAATTGCATTAATTCTTTGAAAATCTTTTTCTCTGCTCCTGGGTATTAAATAAACTAACTAAGAACATAGTTATGGTGAGCATGACTGCCTTTTCAGAAATTGTTTCATGGCCCTTGGGTCAGGGGTTCTGGTGTTAGGGATGGGCTCCATTGATTATATAGTAAAATTGCATTAATTCTTTGAAAATCTTCTCTGCTCCTGGATATTAAATAAACTAAGTACATAGTTATGATGAGCATGGCTGCCTCAGAAATTATGAATTTAATGGCCTCTGGGTAAGGGGTTCTGGTGTTAGGGCGGGGCTTTATTGATTAGATAGGGAATTGGCATGAATTCTTTCAAAATCTTATGTGCGCCTGGGTATTTTTCAAACAAAGGAAGTGCATGGTTATGATAAGGAAGAATGCCTCATGGCCTTTGGGTCAGGGGTTCTGGTGAGGGGGAAAGAGCTCTATTGATTATATATAGTGAAAATGCATAATTTCTTTCAAAATATTTTTTCTACTACTGGTTATAAAGTAAAGAAACAAGTGTATAGTTATAATGAGAAAGGGTGCTTCTTCCAGAATTGTGAGTTCGTGGCCAATGGGTCAGATGTTCTGGGTAAGGATGGGGCTTTATTTATTTAATTTTATGGTGAAAATGCATTTCTTTGAAAATCATCTATGCTTCTGGGGATGTTCAAGGCAAACAGAGTAAAAGTTTTAATATGCAAGGGTATTTTTACCAGATTTTTGAACACCTGGACCATTTAGTCAAGTGTTCTAGTCCTGGCCAGGGCTCTATTAACTTGTATTCTGCTGAGCAAAGTTATTCCCCTTTGCCATTCACCTTTGATAATTAATCAGTGTAAATAATGTATTTGAAAGCTTAATAGAATAAGAGAATTATGCAAGATAATTTATTGTGTAATGAAAATGTACTTTCATAGATTTAATGACTTGGAAAGTCAGATAGGCAGATAGATACTAGACCAATTATTTTGTTGATGCTAATCATACTATTTTTCTTGTTTTTGGGCAACAAAGGTTCATTTTTCAGTTTATGGATCCTCTAAATTGTTGTATTGTACTCAGGTGACCGTTAAGGCCCTTGGGCCTCTTGTTCTTATAGTCTTACCCTTTGCATTCACAAGTTGTACTTTCCATGTGATTTTTTTTATTCAAGTGAGGTTGACATTACGTTACTGCTTCTTTTTTGAAGCTGATGAATCTAATTGGGAATGGCATTTGGAATGAAACTATTTGTAACCTGACCAAGTTCCAGGATATTTTCACTTTCCCAGCTGAGACAGATGTGAAGAAGATTCAGTCTGACCTTTGCAAGGACATCAAGGAACCGGGCTCCTTTATTTACAAACTCATGAACGATTTGAATGTCAAGGACATCATAAAGGTACATGGAACAGTGGAGTCCATTACTTAGTGGAAAATTCTCTTTGTTTTTTTTTTTGGTTTGTTTTTTTGTTTTTTATGTTTTTTTTAGAAAATGGCATAAGTTTTTAGTTGTGAATATGAGTTAAATATGTCAAACGTTTAAGTACATGTAAAAATTAACTATTTTAAAAATGTGCATATGTACATGTAGTCAGAATTAAATTTTGAGATTTTTTACTTATAAGAGTTAATACACAAATAAAGAAGATTTGCCGTAAACTTAAGATAAAAATAGGGTCTATCTCAATTTATAAGTTGTTTTATTTTTTGTCAGATTGTGGATAATTACACACCAGTGGAATGGCAAAATGCTGTCATAAAGCTAGTAGATAATATCATGTACCTCCAGAAAATTGAAGTTCGGGATGATTTGTCTGCCTGGATCAGACCAATGATGGATATCTTCTCTACAGATCTCATGTCTACAGTGTAAGTATTGTCCAAGATACAAGAAAACACCAATTATTGTACTGAAAGTGACACCTAGTTTAACAACAATGACTGACTAATCTTGTTTTTTTACAGTGATCTAGAGAGCACCTGCAATAACTTGGTGATGTATGCTTCTGATTCAGCGGCTTATAGACGAGAGGTAGAACCAGTACTTATAGCTGTCACATCTAATCTTCAGACCACTAAGATACAGCTACAGCTTCAGTTAGGTTAGTCCTGATATAGAGCTATAACCAAATGTAGTCCTCTTGTATATAATCCAGTATTTGGTTTTAGGAGAAACTCTTTAGTTATAAGAATAGTAGTAGAACTCTGGATTTGTCAGTTTCTTTTTTAACCATTCTTCATATATGTTTTTTTTTTTTTTAGAACTTGAAGATTTCATGTGTGATATATCAAGCATGAACATGTCATCTCTACTTCACAATTTGGAATCAAAGAATATTTCACACCAGATTCAAGAGGTAAACACATGTCAAAAATTACTTGATATTATTTATTTGGTATATGCCATAAAATTCTTTTAATTTTTGGCTGAAGTTTCATCAGATATTGAAAATCATCACAGTTGCTGAATCAATTTTTGTAATTTTTTCTTGAAAATATCTGCAATGTTTTTAAAGTATATTGGCAGCCATGAAAAAAGCAAACCTTAAATTCATTTTGAAGAAAAGATCTGTACAACATGTATATAAGTAAAACATGTTTGAAGTTATTGCCATATACATAGTTTCAACAATTTTTTTCTCCCTGTTTTGCAGTACATTAATGTGATGACTGGCCAAAACACCAGCAGATTTGAGTGTCATTCAACGTTCAATACTATGAAGGATATATCAGAGTTGTTTCAGAGGATGATCAATCAGACTTTCAAGGACAGTACCAGGACAGTGCAGTGTCTGGAACAAATAACAATGCTGCCATCCAAAATCTTTTCAGGAGATGTGATGTAGGTTTTGGAGTCCTTAAACATTACTGAGTTGAGGTCTAATGATCATCTGATTTATATTTTAACTCATTCTGGAAATCATGATTTTTTTTTGCCTGTTTGGCAGTGTCAGGCAGATATGTAATAAGATTTTAGTGCTCTACTTTTGTACAATTTAAACTTTCTGCATACTAGCAATTAGACTTTGTCTGTGAAACAGTTGTGATAAGGTTCAGAGCAATAAAATTACTGGATTCTTCAAGTGACCTACATTCCTGAGTGTGACCTACATTTCTGAGTGATCAGATTAAAGTTTTCCCACAGGTTTATCTCCGTGTAGCTTTAATTCCTATGTTGTCATGTTATATTTATATTACAGGGAGTCCATTAAGTCTGTGTCTCGTCTGATGGTGGATGGAATGTCAGTGCTGAATCAGCCATTTATGCAGAACAATGAAGTCCTTAACATGATTACATCTGTATTCCAGAAACTAGCTACAGAAGATTTAAGTAAGTCATGATACATTTACTAATTTACTGTATACAGGGCTCTTTTTGCCCCATGTTATTTTTGCCCTTTCATGGTTCCAAACTATTTTGCCCGGTTTTAAATTTACTCAGACACAGTTGTATATGAGATAATGCTGTCTTCTTTAATAAGCCCTATTTTAAATTCACTCTATTTCTACAAGGGCAAAAATAAAATGGAGTAACTACATGTAAATGTTGTAAACACACCATCAAATAGCATTTTAAAATTCTTAATGCAGGCATCAAGTATTTTACATGTAAAGATTTCCAAAGTCATTCATTCTGTCTGAATGTTTTTGTTTTCTTATATTTTAGCATGTGTTGAACCATTCATATACGTGGACACATACACATGTATGTGTGTAATGTACATGTTATGTTATGTACATGTATGTAATCTAATTTCAGCATCAGCTGGAGTTTTGGTTTCCGATCTCCTAAGTTCAAACTCCACAATGGCCGAGAAGTTACAGGATATCTTAGACTTGGCACCAGAGGCTGCCTCTGTGTTCCTTAATGCTACAATCAAACCAGACTTTGTATGTTCAAAATGTTCCGACTTTGAATTTCAAACGCTTTGCTGGGCTTATTGTTGTTGCCTGAAAAAGAGTTCAAACAATACTTGATAGAATTTTAAAGTCTGATTTTTAGGGGTTTTGTTTGCCATTTGTATAATCAATGGAATGGGAAGGTGCCTAATGGGTAAAAAAAATGATTTGTTGTAGATAAACTTGTTAATAAACAATTCTCAAGAGGCAGCAGAAATACTTTGTAACCCAGACAGACTGGAGAAGTATGTAGAACTTCCTGGGGAGCTGATGAATTCTGTCCAGAATGTCTCGTCTGTGTTGTGTGGTACAGACCCAGGACAGGCGGCAAACACAGCTAAAATTATAGGAGACCTACTGACTGTAACTGCCAAAGTTGTTAATGTAAGTACTGACTGTAACCGCCAAAGTTGTTAATATAAGTACTAACTGTATATGTCACTACCAAAGTCTTTGACATAAGTACCAACTGTCGCTGCCAAAGTCATTATCATAAGTACTGACTTACTGCTAAAGGGGTTAACATAAGTATTGACTTACTGCCAAAGTTGTTAACATAAGTTCTGATTGTAGACCAATTATTATTTGAAATATCTTCACAAGATAAATGACTCAGTTATACATGTACTAACTATTCTGTCAAGCAATTTTTGATCCAAAGAAGTCATTCATTTAGAAACATCAACAAGGATAATATTAATTCTGAACTAGTTTTTGTTAGTAGTTGACTAGAAGATGTTGTGAAGAATTGTTGCTTTATCATATTCCAAAATAAATATACATAATGAATAATAATTTAGTAGGATGCAGTCTTTGGATACCTCCATTTATTCTGATAGGGTATCTTTTAATTTTGTATATTGTATCTTGACGTACCGGTACACCAATGCTCTCTTTCAGACCCAAGACTTTGGGAGCCCCGCCTGGTGGAACCACATCAGTGCAGATATTACAGATATTATTGGGAAGGTTCAGAAACTAGGCCTCTTTAACCTGACTTCTATTGACCTGGACAGTGTTGATCTGAAGACAGTTTTACCATATATACAGGAACTGATCTATAGGAATGGCCCAGATGCTCTTGCAGACAGGTATAACTTATAAGCTATGTTACTTAGATGAACAGACCAGTGTTTTATCAAATCTTGGCAGTCTACTAGCCCATCTATTTGTCCACATTCCTGAGGTTATACAGTGAAACCTCGTTATCTCAAACTTGATGGGACCGAGAAAATACTTCAAGATATCCGAGGATTCGAGATATCTAGGGCAAAATACTTGAGGAATAAACGGTTGGGACTTCCAAATCACTTCGACATATCCATGGTATTCGAGATATCAGTGTTCCAGATACGAAAGTTCAACTGTAGTTTTAAAGCAAATATTAAAGAAATTATGTTCATATATCATAGTACATGTATCTATCAAATTTGCATTACTTTGTAGTTGATTTAAATGATAATGAATTACTTAAAGTATATTTGCTTTTAACTAACAGTTTGGTGGAGCTTTTGAATGATTTCAAGCCCATTATGAATGACACCTTCATGATAAGTGTGACCTCTGACATTGAGGTCATCATTAGAGGCCTGACCTCACTCAAGGCCATCAGAAACTTCATACCAAGGACAGGTAATCTTACAGCTATCCAAATGATTTATGAGATGATACTGCTACACAATTTTCTCAAAGTCAGTCAAATACTGCAAAAGCATAGGTTTTGATAGAGATTACAGGCAGATATTTCCATCAAGTTCTGATAAGCAGAATTGCAATGTGATTAAAATTTCCGAAGTTTTGTTTTAATGAAGTGTAAGTTATTTGTTACTTTGTTTTGATGTGTTATTGTCTCTTTTCTGTATAGTGTTGATTAGGACAGTGTTGAAGGATCCAGCAGCCTTCCATGACTACCTGACCCAGAACTTGACACTGTCAGATGAGGATGCCACCGCCATCATTGAGGGAACCATCAACTATGCTTCTGTATGTATCACTTTGGCAAAGGGGAGCAAACTCAATTTCAGCAAAACTCAGTTGTAACGCAGTCACAGGGACTTTCAGTTTTGCTTCCTTATTACTAAGATTCTGCACGTCGATATAAGGAACAAAGTGCAAAGTCTTCTAGGGGATTCATAAAAGTTTTCTTATATCCAAGATCTCCTTGTAAGGAAGTTCTTTATAAGCAGGATATACTGTACATTGTTTTAATTTTTATATACATGATCATGTACAACTAGATTTAAATCATTTTTAGAAAAGTTAGATTTCACCTTAAACATTTCTTAAAGACACATGCACATGTATTATATTCTCACATTTCAGCTAATGAGTCTGAAGGTAGAAGATTTTGGAAACTATGTCTGTAATGTGACCAGCCTTGACATTCTGTTGAATTTGACATCCACAAAAGTCAGCATTTCTGACCTTAGTAAGACTTTGTGTAACATTGGAGAAGCCAAGGCTGTTTCTTTTGTGGAAAGTATGTTGCAGAACATGGATCTTGGAAAACTTGTGCAAGAGGTATGGTATACCAGTAAAAAAAATGCACATTCACATTTCACTTATGGGATTAAAAAGCACAAGCACAGTCTCAAAGATCAAAAAAAATATATAATATTAGTGTCTGGTAACTGAATCAGTAACAAAGCCTATGAAATTAAAGAAAATTGGCTATATTATAACTATTCATTTAATTAACTCATACATCTTTCAAGTTCATAATCTCATTTCTGAGTATCTTGTAAATTTTTCAGTATGTCAGTATGTCATCTGGTAAGTTCCTGAAGCATGCTCAGTTGACCCCCTCAGAGGTTCAGGATGCTGTGAAGTACATGAGTGACAGTAGCTCTCAACTGAATGACCTGGCCAATCTCTTTAACAATAAGTCCAGCCAACTTGGCTTCAGCATGGGAACCTTCGATGCTCTCCATGGTATGTGGTTATTATCTGTTCAAGAAATAAAAGCAAGAAACAAAAAGTCAGTATCTATGATACTTTATCTGAACTAATAAAATTTTTCATTTTTCAAAAAATTTCAAGAACATTTAAGATGGGTCAAATTTGGAATGCAGATTTTTTTTACAAAGTATAAAGAAATTCAACCTATCCTGTAGTTAAACCTAATCTGTGATAAAAGTGTACGCCACGCCTCTTGTTTTGTACATGGATCTTTGTTTATTTAGGGTCAGGATCCTCCTCCGTATCTTCACTGTATGACATGATCTGTGGGACGGGGAAAAGTACTGCCATCAAGGACTCCACTGGAGTATCCTCCATCTCTTCCAAAACCACAACACCTACCACTTCCCTCACCCCAGATCAACAGGCAGAACAAAAGACCCTGCCAGGTGCGAGTCCATTTAATATATTTCGTACCATTTTAGAACAATTTTATAATGGAAATGAACAACATTTTAAATGTTAATTAAGATGTCAATAGATTATGATTTTCAACCAGATTTTTGAGCTTTGTATGCTCTGAAAAACTTGTGAGCATGTTGGTTTGAAAGAGCCAATTATTTTTTAAAGACATATATGAATGTAATACAATTTTATATAAGTTTAGAGTTTTTTATGTTAATTTTTTTCATCTTTAAGGTGAGTTCTGTCAGAACATGTATGAGACGATTATTCAGATGAGCCATGGACCAGTAATTTGGTCCTACCTAAAACCCCTCATCATGGGCAAAATCCTGTACTCCCCAGACACCCCAGCCACACGCAGCATGATTGAGAAGGTAAAGGGTTGTACAAAAGTTACCAAACTAGCTATGAATTTTACAAGAAATTTGATTGCTCCGTAGAATGTAAATTGTACTTAGTGTGATCTAAAGGAATTTCCTCTGATCTCTTGACTTATCATCATCAGATGTACAACAGCAGTTTCAAAGTGTTGGCAGAAGTCAAGGATTTAGCAGAGCAGTGGTCAAATGGCACCCAGGATTTAGGAGAGTTCCTATCTAACACTGCAGCTATTGCAATGGTTAAGGTAACAGTGCTGATTTGTATGTAAACATGCTTGTGTATTAGAATGTAACTGACTTAAAGGTGATAAGTTACCAATGTTTCTTTTTTTATAGAGTCTGGATGGTAACAATTTCATAAACAACCTACTTGAGTCAACTCTACAGGTGTCCTCTGCAGATGTGATGAATGGTTTCTACACACTGGACACCCTCAGTAGTAACGAGGTCCTCAATATCTCCTCCTTCTTCCGACTCCTTGCTAATTACACTCAGTGTGTGTCCACAGATAGATTCGTACCTATGTCAACTGAGAGAGATATGGAACTCATGGCAGTACAGCTACATCAGAATAATACATACTTAGCAGGTATTTTTCTTTACATCAGCTTTATTGTTATTTTTCTGGGTTCTTTTATATATCCAAATGGACAGAGTTATACAGGTGGTCAGAACTTAGCATATTATAACACTTTTTAGATTCATGTATTTAGGCCATTTTGGAATGTTTTACAGGTATTGCTTTTCAAATGGAAACAACAGGAAGAAAGAAAAGACAGGCCACAGATTCTATTCCTAAACATGTGGTCTACAAAATCAAGATGGACATTGAAAATGTGGAGAGCACAAGAAGACTTAAAGAAAAGTAAGTGAGGGGAATGAGAAAGAATTGGATCATGTCCTTAATGCTTGGGTTAATTATATCTGATGATATGGAAAGAGATGGGTTTATAATTTTGATTATAATTAACAGATTCTGGAGGCCATACCCAGAAGACGATATGTTCCTTGAGATGAGATATTTCCGAGGATTTATTCAGCTCCAGGACATGTTAGACCGTGCCATTATAAATCTTCAGACAGGATCTGACGTCAATAACACAGTGTTTCTACAGCAGTTCCCCACTCCTTGCTATGTTAATGATAAGTAAGAATGAGAAGTAGTTTTACAATCAGTAATTTCAATATTTTTTTATCAGGATATAAGATTCTCACAAAAATATTGGAAAGAAAGAATCGTATAACACATGTAAAGTGTATGTGATATAAATTTCAGCACCAGAATTTTATACTTGTAATTGTTGTTACATTTGAGAAATTTGATTTTCAATAGATATATGGAGCTGTTGAGTTCTTATCTTCTGCCGATCATGATGACTATAGCGTGGTTGGCAGCCATATCAGTTGCTACTAAAAACCTGGTGTACGACAGAGAAAACGGCCAAGAGGAAGTAACTCTCTTTTTTACTTTTTACCAAATCAAAACAGATAAATGGTCTCTGTTAAAGAACTGTATGTGTAAAGAGAAATAATTGGAATTCATTAATATTTAGCTTCAGGAAGTCATACTTTTTTTTATTTACAAATTAATTGACTCCTGTACTTTATATTTTAGGCTCTGAAGATAATGGGTCTGAACTCTGTCATGACCTGGTGGGTGTGGTTCTTGTCGACCATGGTGGTGATGACCATCATCTCCCTGATCTGTCTCCTCCTGCTAAGGGTAGGGGGACTCTTCACCTACACAAACTTTGGCATTATCATCCTCTACTTCCTGGCATTCTGTTTCTCCAGTACAATGTTGTGGTAAGTTTACTCCCTATCTTTATGTTATAAAAGTTCAAGATAAATAACACTCTAATTTACACCAATTAAAATTATTCTTATGATTTTTTTTTTTTTTTTTTTGTTGAAATTTTATGTCCTCTCTCAAATTTTGAATATTTCATTGATTTGAATTTCTTTATCAGTGTATTCAACTTTTTATACTAAAGATGTCTATATGTCACTAAAATACTATTTTCATACAAAAAAACTGACAAATATATTAAATACAACATGTACATGTATATGACAACAGTTGTCACTTTCCCACCAAGCACATTGTAAATCTTGACAAATCATTACATTTAATCTTTGGTATTGTTTTGTGATACAGTTACATGGTGGGTGCGTTCTTCACTCAGGCCACGCTAGCCATCCTGTTTGTGGTCATCATATACCTCCTCTCTTATCTCCCCTACATCATCCTCATCGCTATGTCAGCCGAGATGGAGTTCTGGCAGCAGATCCTGGCTGTGAGTTATATATTATTGGTCTATTTGTATGTCAAACTTTAACTAATAAAGATGTAATAAAGATTTTTGATAGAAATAGTAGGAAAGATATTTAGTTGGTTTCAGTTTTTGGACATTGATTTTTCTCCAGAAGAACAGAAATGTTTTGGTTCATTAAATATCTTTATTTTATAGAAGTTAGAAAATTTATACTGGAATAATGTAAACTTGGATTGGGAAATTCACATTGGAGTATGTGTAGACTTGAGGTGTATCATACAGATGTAGTAAGAAATGAAGTCTTTATTTGTAGTGTCTGTCCTCCACTACAGCCTTTGGATTCGGATCACAGTACCTGGCTCACTATGAGATCCAGATGACTGGAATTCACTGGAATAATCTGGATTCCAGTCCTATAGAGGGAGATCAGATGAATTTCCATTGGTGCCTGGTGATGATGGCCTTGGATGGAGTAATCTATCTCCTGATTGGTTGGTACGTCAGAGGGGTCAAACCAGGTCAGTATCTCATCAAGTGTATTTGTAATCAACTTTCTGATTTGATTTTTATTTTACAGCTGTTCTGTTTTTCATAACCAACACAATTAATATATATTTAATATCAAACTTTTATTTTTAAATTGATTCTCTATTTTTAGGAAAATATGGAGTTCCTGAGCCTTGGTATTTCCCATTATCTCCCTACTACTGGGGATGTATCAAATCCACTGTAAAATCGGCAGACAAATATAGAACAAGCTCTGGCACTGGTGAGACTAGGTCTATTAAGGAGTGATATGTATACATGTATTATAGCTTATGTATACATGTATGTTGAATATTCATCATCTCTGTTTACATTCTCGGATATTTATTGGAGGATATGTATGTGTTGAATATTCATGCTCTCTCTTTTTACATTCCCAGGTACTTTATAGGAGGATTATGTACATGTATATACTGAATATTCATGATCTCTGTTTATGTTCCTAGGTGCCTTATTGGAGGAATACAGTAAGGACAGAAAAGTAGGAATGTCTTTAAGACACCTCTCAAAGAAATTTGGGAATCAGGAAGTGGTCAAAGATCTCAATTGTGACTTCTTTGAGGGTCAGGTGACTGTGTTGCTGGGTCACAATGGGGCTGCCAAGTCCACTACATTGTACGTACTTGATTAAATTGACATTTTACATGTAACTGGAAAGTATTTCATGATATTATTAATTTGATTTCATTGTGTATAAATCATGATAAGATTTTACTAAGAATTGATATGTGTGTATTTGATCAGGAACATGATGTGTGGGATTCTGCAGCCTACTCATGGTAAGGTGTCGATATACGGACACCGGGCCAGACATGGGGCTAAGAAGATAGGAATCTGTCCTCAGTACAATGCTCTGTTCCATTAGTAAGTCTTTTTGTTCCTTACCCATTGTTGTACTTCATAGCACTTGTAATATTTGTACATACAATGATGCCTATTTACTTCTTTGACTAGAGTGTTGTCTTGGACTGATACAGTGGCTCCCGTTTTATCCAATAGTCAAGTTGTCAGTCTAATTTTATCAGAATAGCCGATTATTAGAATAGCCGATTGCTCCATACCGAGTCCAAAGATAGATGTATAGAGCTACATGTACTGATAATACATGTAATATGATATATTCTTTCAGCATGACAGTTCGCGAACACTTGGAGTTTTATTCTGCAATCAAGTCTGATGCTTCCAAAAGTAAAATAAAAAAAGAGGTTGACAGGTAAGTTTGTGCACAAAAAAAAGTATCTGTTAATTTGGTTACCATACACATATTTCAAAATCATTATGATAACTTTTTTTTTAATTTTCTGTTAGTTTGTTGCACGATGTTGACCTATGGAATGTTCAGGATGCAGTGGTGTCTACATTGTCTGGTGGTATGCAGCGACGACTCTGTGTAGCTCTAGCCTTCGCTGGGGATTCTAAGGCAGTCATTTTGGATGAACCAACAAGTGGGGTAGATCCTAGTGCAAGAAGAAGCATCTGGAACCTGCTGGTCAAACGCAAAATGAGTCAGTACATTAGAAAACCATTAAATATGCAGTTTTCTTTAAAATGCATCATTTTCATCATACATAATCCAGAAATGTTTGTTACCTATGTAAACCAGCTCTTTTCCTTTCACTTTATTTTGCTGTTAATTCTTGGTAAAAATTGAGATTATGTTTATATGTGTACATCTACAAACATTTGTAATTTAAACAATAATTCCGGTTTCTCAGACATTGGTTTTTGACAAGAAAAGAATTTAATAGGAAGTTTTAAATAGCTAAGCTTTAAAATGATTTTCCTATAGGAAAGAGTTGGTTTATTTTACTGATACACAGTGTTGATTGACAGAATGTTTATATTTGTTTACTAGTGGGTGGAGATGAGGGTAAGTTAGCTGGTAGAAGGGTTTTTGTATAGATAGCTCCTAATGTTGGCATTCTGGTTTATAATCAATAACACCATTTGTTAAAGCTATGATAATTAGCAAGAAAAAATATCTTGCATCCATTATGACCTACTCCAGGGAAAATGAGAAACATATATACATGTATATACCAAAAGTGAGATACAAGTAGTGCACCCAAAAAAGCACTTCTTAGGAATTATACAGTGAAGCACTGTTTTACACATAGTCATTGTGACCCCTTTTCAAACAGAATTTGATGGTTTCTTCTTAGCACACTGCGGGTCTTGAAGTTTTTTGTCATGTGATCAAGAGGTATGACTTAGATTAATTTGACAGACAAAAAGTTGCATGCACAGTAGGTATTTTTTCAGGATATCATAATATTGTTCTTAAGTGTATGATGCTTAACCATGTCATACCAAAATTAGGTATAAAATATGATCTGGACACCAAAAATTAACTGACAGAAAAACATATAGATGAGAAAGACAGTATCATGAAACAACCCATCAGAATGCTGTGTATAAAGAAAAGAGCATCTTATATAAACTCATGATGCATTGTGCATGACCCAAGCACAATCATTCCAGTAGACTTAATATTGTACAATAAGTTTCCAGTGTATATATGCAGTGTATATATTGTATATTAAAACTCTTTGTCTGGTATGCATGTGGATTCTGTATTTTAAAATGATGAACTGCTCAAAACAGTATACAGATACAGGTATTCTGTTGTAAGAATGAACTGGAGTTAATCCAGTTCAGGACATAATCGTATGTTAAAATTTTTCTAAATATTACTTAAAACCATGATTTTGAAAAGATGTTTTAGAATTACCTGTATGTACATGTACCATCATCATTTAATGTGATTAAAATTTACGTACAGGATGTACAATCCTGCTGTCAACCCACTTCCTGGATGAAGCAGACACCATCGGGGACAGAATCGCTGTGATGCACAAAGGCCAAATCCTGTGTACAGGGTCACCCATGTTCCTTAAGGAGAAAGTTGGCAGTGGCTATCACCTCAGATTTGCTAAAGCAGGTACATACCCTATGAAAAACCTAAAAAAAAAAAAATTATGGCAGTTTCATTGAAATTTCTATTTATTTAGTTGTACAGGTACATGTTACTCTTGATGGCTTGAACTTTGGTCTCTCAAAGTTTTTGATTGCTTGAAGTGAATCTCCGGTCCTGATTTTTCCCCTATATAACTAAGCAAAGGATGACTGCACTTAAGGACATGCGAAATTTGCGACAAAATAAACTTTCAAAACAAGCATTTTTCTTTTCATTGCAAGAATGGTCAACATCCAATCTACAACTTTATCTAATTACGTTTAATAAAAGTGTGTATTTACGAAGTTCGAATCTGTTTTCAAAGGCAGGGGTCATCACAATATCTTAAATCTCCGTTCGATAATGAGGACGCCCACTTTTTTACTGACTTTATACATAGTCAGCGCATGTTTGTCTATTGTTCTTCGTTTAACAGTAGTTGTATATTTGCATAAATAATAATGTGTCAAAAGGAGATTAATAGACAAACATGCGCTCATAGTTAAAAAGAGAAAAAACTGCTTCTTATTACATTCGCTCTCTGTGTTGAAACCAAGGATTATGACATGTTGAATATTATAATTCACCACGTGGTTTCTTACTTCATGTAACTTTGTGAATACTAAATTCCGTCACGTGACTTGTAAGGTAGCATGTTTTGTGCTAAATAGGACATTGTGTTCGAACACGATAAGTCATCTGGCATTGAAATAAAATCTGCTTTAATTACATTGACATGCTTATATTGTTAATTTCGTTTTGAAACCTTTATCGGAAGTGTATTTGTGCCATCCAGAATGGAGAGGGAGATTGGAAAGAGTGATCACGTTCTTTTTTCCAAACATGTCATTGTTATTTATCAAGTCTAATTTTAGACCAAATCTTACAATGTTAGCTCCACCTCTCATGCATATCTAATGTTCAATCAAGGGCAGGTAAGTGTAAATTCACTATATTTGGAAAGCAGTAAGGACAAAAAACATTAAATCATTTTATTGTATCACAGTCTAAAATCATTTTAAGATTTAAATGTGGTTCCAAATTGACAGGATTCTTTCATAAATATACAAAAGTGAAATAAGGTTTAGATATAAAAGCAACAGAAGCAACCGAAAAAGACCCAAAAACAGGCGTTAAGTGCAGTCATCCTTTACTCTTGATCTCTCAAACTCTCAATCTCGAGAAACCCTTGAACCCCCAAAGTCAAAATGCAGTCACGATATGCATAATTTATTGGAATTTTAGTTTGATGTTCGTCTTACATAGAATAAATATGACAAATTACAATTTTTGCTATATTCAGTTTAAAAAATATTCACTACAAAAATACAAAGAAGTATAAAATCACGAGTTTAAGATTAGCACTTGAAATAAATAAAAATCATTACATCAGGTAAGACTAATTTTAAAAGCTGTCAACCAGCCCAGAAAATTCCAGACTAGAAAAAAATCAAACTCTTGATCTTTCAAAGTTTTTCCTTGGTCCCGCAGATTTTTGGGTATCAAGAGTTACCTGTATTTGCACTAAAATCTTCAAATTTTAACAATAACCTTGTTAAAAAATATTTTGAATTTTGAGACTGTGGTCCATGTATTATTTTCTTATAGGCCAATACAGATAATTGTAATTATATTTTTGTCAGATACCTGTAATACTAATGAGGTATTGGCAGTGGTGAGGAACTTCACACCAGAAGCTGAAATCGTCACTGAGGTTGGATCAGAGGTCATAATGTCATTGCCATTCTCCAACGACCAATCAAATCAGTTCTTCAAATGTCTATACAACCTAGACAAGGCGGCATCATCACTCGGTGTAAACAATTATGGGGTCTACGATACCACACTTGAAGAGGTAGGAAACCAGACAAGTATATGGCTGTCATATAAATAAAATATTTGTAATAAATAAAACTTCTTTTCAAAAAAGGCAAAAAAAGTTAAAATGGCATAATTTATGAAGGCAGGATACGAATATTGTAAATGTCAAGGCAAGGTACGAATATTGTAAATGTCAAGTCATTATAAAAATTATCTTGTTTAACTCATATACATGTACCTGGTAGATGTGGGTTTAAACCAAAAAATGGAAGAAAAAATGATGAATCTACCCTGAATTTGTAAGTATTTTTTGATAAGGATTTTATGGATGGCTTGAATGGTTTTAGGTGTTCCAGAAAGTGTGCTCTGTAGCAGACAAAGACATGACCTTAACAGAACAAGTCCTACAGGAATGTCGTCAAAAACCCAAAATGGAGAACCCAGAGGAGGAACAGGCTGAGGACAAGGCATCTGAAAAAAGTCAGTGTCTAAATCTGTTACATATCTGATAGCTTATATCAAGTATGAAAGTAGATTCTCAATCCCAAAAAGTCAGTGTCTTAATCTGTTACATATCTGATAGCTTATATCAAGTGTGAAAGTAGATTCTTAATCCCAAAAAATACACTTCTCCTAAATGAATTTAGTGCTTTTGTCATCTTTTGATTCTAGCCTTTTTCTTTGAACTCTTAACAACAAAAGAAATTTTATATCTAGTAGTTCTACAAGTTTCATTAACAATCTGTTTTGATGAATTACATGTGTTTATTCAGGTGCCAGTTATTCAGTGCATTTCTCTGGATCTAAACGGAAGGGGCTGATTGGACACAAACTGGGTCAGTTTACTGGCATGCTGATCAAGCGTTTCCACCATTACCGACGGGACTGGCGTATGTTTCTGTCTGTATTCCTGCTCCCCTTGGTGTTTATGACTGCTAGTCTGGGTCTGATGGAGCTACAGCCACAGATAGGAAACGCCCCAGCCAAAGTCCTCACTCCCCCGCTGTATGGACCCAGAAGCCACGCCTTTATCAAGTCAGTATAAAGATGGAGATTTATTGTTATTTATTTAATGTTGTCCTCAATTCAGCTCTTGGTAACTTTTTCAAGTTATCCTTTGCCGATTTCTTCTTTGTCCGCTTTTTGTCTTTTATGATGAGTAACAGGTACATATAGTTATAGCCGTCATTTATTCTTTTGATTTGAAACCAACTGGTGACTGACATAAATTGTGATTTGAACAATTTTTAGAGATAATGTCAACAGTAATATGACCAGGTATATGGTAGACAGCATCAAGTCCCGGCCTGGATTTGGAACCACCTGTATGAAGGATATTAACTTTGGGTAGGTAACCACATGCATATGAAACTACCTGTATGGGTAGGTTACCACATGGAACCACCTTTCTTGTGTAAATTCTGTAATGTACACATGTATATAGTACATATATCTGATGTTCTCTAGAAAAAGCTGCAAAGCTTTCCCAGAATCTTCTGCCTGAGTTATTTATGACTGGTTTAACAATTTCAGACCTCCTTTTGAGTGTGTTACACCAGATGCAGGATTTTCTACAGTGACAGGTGGACAGAAGTATGACAACTGTTCCTGTGTGGACAACAAGTATGTCTGTAGTCACAGAACAATGTACCAAGACGTCCCACTCATGACAACACGGACAACCACTCAGCTGTATAATCTACAGGATAAAGACATAGACCTCTACTTACTACAGACCTCGCAGAGATTCCTATGGAACAGGTAGGTTCTGGTGTGTTGCTCAGTAGAGAAAGGGATTAGTCACTATGAAGTTCCATTTAACTACAGTGTTCAATTTCTCAGTCTTTTCATGCACCAAATTTATGCTTTCATTATTTTCTTTGATTTTAGTTGATTTCGCTTTTTTTCGTAACCCCTAACTGAGTATGATTTTTGTAAATAGTTAATTTGTTTTATTTTCAGAGTTTTGCATTGTTTTAAATCAGGCTTAAGTTTTGTGAGGAATGTCTTAATTTTAGGTTTGGTGGACTTTCCTTTGACCCAGTTTCTGGTGACCCAACAACAATGAAGTCAACAGTTTGGTTTAACAACAAAGGGAGACATGCTCTACCCTCCTTCTATAATGCCCTTTCTAACACAATGCTGAGAGCTACATTGTCTGAGGCTGGAATGACAGACACAGAGAATTTCGGTAATCTTAAGATGTTTGAAAAGATACTGCAGATCTACTTAAATAATATACTGTAAAACATGCTTATAGCGAAGTGCCAGGGACGGACAATTTTGCTTAGTTATAAATGCAATTCTTTATATCTGTTAAGTTCACAATACTGTTTAAAACCATGGGAAAGGAAAATCACTTCGCTATAAGTGAGAATGCATTATAAGAATGAGAATGCATTGTTCACTATGAGTGTGTTTGACTGTATACAAACTTTCCTGTTAAAATTGTATTTTTAAAAGATTTTTATTCCTTTTCATCTAATAGATCATAAAGCTGTACAATTTAGTTTCAAATGATATTTTAAGTACAAATCATTTCTTTTCTTAATGATGGAGAAATTGAGGGTAGTTAATGATAATCTGTGTAATTTCTTTTTGTCCTATCAGGTATCACTGCCATTAATGAACCCATTCTGCTTCATGAACAGCAGCTAACCATTGATACACTGTAAGTTTACAGCACTGTTTTATGTAGATCTTACACACTCTGCAGTAAAACTGTAAAATGACTAAAATTTAAAGCATAACGAGATGGTCGAACAACATTATAAGATATCATTATTGAAAAATACAACAACAACAAAAAAAAACAAGAAATATACAAGGGTTTGATTTAAAAAATGAAACAGATTTGATCTCTTTCCACATATAAAGACTGATTGATGTATTTTGTCTTCCAGAACAAAGAAGGCCTCTGATGTTGGAATTGGACTGTTCATGTTGGTGGCTTTCTCCTTTATCCCCGTGGGCTTCACCATGTATGTCCTGAACGAACTGTTGAAGAAGGAAAAACAACTCTTGTTCCTCAGTGGAACTGGTCCCCTGCTGTACTGGTTCACTGCCATCTTATGGGATATGGTGAGCCATCAAGACTTTAAACATGGGCTGGATTCAAGCCCTTAGTGGCTATGTATGTCTATGTAGAGCTGCGATCTTGAATGATATGCTAGCCTAGCTGCTACATTGGAATAACAAGCATTAATTCATGCATTCAATAGACCTAGCAGATAGCCTAACTGCTAGGCTTAATATCCACTATCTTGAACACAGCCCTTGTTAATCAACTGTTGGCTAGTTATGGTATCAGCCTAGAGAATATCTGACTGAAGTTTACATAGTAGTACAAATCAGTTCTATATACTATAAATATGTAAACGTTGATTTTAATAACAACGAAGAATTAAAGTCTGGGTTCAATTAATATATTGTATATTCCATCATATGTACAGGTCATTTCATGTGTAGTTCTGTAAATAAAATATTTAACAAATAATTCACAGACAAACAAACATACACAAACATCACACAAAACACTGAATTTTCTGGCTAAGGGAAATAACTCCATTTTCCTCATAACTTTAAGGATAAAAAAATAATCATTTCAGGCATTATATTATGCAACTTCATTATCATAAAATAATTTCCTTTTAACTATAAACATTTCCACTCATAGTATCCAAATGAAATTCTATTTACAATACAAATAGACATCACAATATACACAGACTTCACTAAACACAAATCTTACCAAATATATGGTATATGAACCTGATCTTTCCTGATCCTTTAAATTCTCAGTCAGTCATAACTATAATAAATTATCACAAAGTAAGTCTGACTGATTATTGGCAAAATATATTTAAAACTCATAAAAAATAATATTTTACAGAAATCTCATTCACATAACTTTCACACATCATGCTCATAATTACTAATGTTAAAATGTTAATGAACTGACCTGTTTAGTATATTGTCCGTAAGTCCATAATGTCTGGTATACAAATTGTCAATAAATTATTTAGGAACTTTGGAGTCGGTAAAAATACACTGCTCACTCTAAGGGTCTTTTTTGAATGTCTAAAAAATTACTACAATAGAGAGCTTCTCACCAGAGTAGCCAATCAAATACTTGGGTTCACCCATGCATGAATAGCATGCTTGAGTTAATGAAAACACTATGGAAAGCCTTAGTGTAATAAATATACACAAACGCTCTTACTTAGTACTATTTAAAGTATGGAAATACATTAGGGACAAAAATTAAAACAATAAGTCAATGCTGTATTTTTATTAGATAGTGTCTTTATTGATAAAAACACAAGGTCACAAATATTTAGCTATAAATGTCTTAATTATGTAGCCTGTTTTATGATTTTGACCCCATTCTATTTAAGTTCCTGTACTGTCTCACTGTGGCTCTCACCGTTGCTATCATGGCCATCTTCCAAAATCCTGTTTACTGGGAGAGGTCCAACCTAGTAGCCAGTGTGCTCCTTGTAATCCTGTATGGGTAAGTTATATCTAGTTAATTAAAAGTAAGTCTTTCTCTGGCCATAAAGGCCAACACTTCAGCCATATGCTCAGGCTAAGGTTTTGTAGTTTTGTTTTGAAGTTGGGATACTTATGTGCATACCAGTACCTGAGTCATTTGCCAGATCTAATATTTATTCTAGGGTGTAGTTTATTTTTCTGTAGAATTTTAGATGCTAAACTGGAAAAATAATTTATCATACTTGATAAATACAATTTTAGTAGTATCGGTTCATTGCTTTTAATCTGGATACACTGTTATGACTTTGTGGTAGCAGCCAAGTATTGTGACCCACATGTACATGTATCTTTACAAGTCCTAGCCATCTTTTGTGTGTCTATTCTAGCTGGGCATCAATCCCTCTGATGTACAGCATGATGAAGCTGTTCAGAGATACCTCCACGGCCTACATGGTTCTTTTCTGTGGCAGCGTGTTTATTGGAATCACCACTGCCTGCTGTACATTCCTTCTAGAGTACTTCTCAGATTCAGAGGTATGTCAAAATGTTTTTCTTGCATTAATGTTCCAACATCTGCAAATTAAGTGTAAATTTTTGAGTTTATATGTTCTTTAGTTCAGGCAAGCTCTCAATTAATTTTCTTTTCTATGCATCATTATATGTATGTATATTCTAATTCTTCTGTACTCTTATTTTCTATATGTAAACAAGTGACATGTCCCTTACTTTTTTCCAGAAAATTCAGGAAGCATTTGAAATCCTGAGTTATGTGTTCCTGGTGTTCCCTCAATTTAGTTATGTAAATGGCTTCCTGAAGCTTACAGCCAATCAGCTACGTACAGAGATCCTATCGACGTTTAAGCAGGATGCTTATGTGGACCCGTTCTCCTTTGATATGCTGGCCTGGAACTACATTGCCATGGCAATACAGGGTGCTGTGTTCTTCATCATCACTCTACTGACTGAGTTTTCATGTCATTGTTCAAACAGGTATGTACAAGAATTTGTATAAAAGAATGTATGATTGATAAGTAATATTAAATGGCAGTATTTGATATTAACTGATTAACTTGAGCTGTCTGGTTAAAATAAATCTACTTCTGTGAAATTCATTCATAATAGGATCCGGAACATCACATCAGGATTGCATTATATATACGTATATATGTGGTGCTTTATAACGGGGCATTTAATCATTTCTAACAGTCTACTGATGCTACACTTTTTGTATGTGCAGAGTTCCTCACAGCTTATACCACGAGGAAGAGAAGGAGGATGAGGATGTGGGTGCTGAGCGAGCTCGTATCAGGGAAAGCACGACCAGCGGGAATTCTGTCACCGTGTCTAATCTCTCCAAGGTCAGGTTATCATGTCTACTATGGTAGATACACTGGTCAATAAGGACTATCTCTCATAGGTCAAAGGGTTATTTAAGACTTGTGCAAAAAATGAATTACAGTCAAACCTCGTTATCTCGAACTCGAAGGGACTGAGAAAATACTTCGAGATAACCGAGGATTCAAGATATCTAGGGTAAAATACTGAAGGAGTAAGCAGTTGGGACTTCAAAATCGCTTTGACATATCCATGGTATTCAAGATATCCTTGTTAGAGATACCGAATTTCAACTGTATTTACCCATACATTCAAATTTCATTCATGAACTTTAACACAATTTTTGTAATATCCACGTAAAATTATGTGAATTGCAGGTGTATAGACGTGGGGGACATGACTTCCTGGCTGTGAACCAGCTATGCTTTGGGGTGAAGAAGGGAGAGGTAGGTCAGCTGAGATCACTGAAGTCAGACAAAATTGAACTTTTTGTTTTTATTCATGAAAAACCATCAAAAATGTGCTGGATTTGTTAACTTTTACTGCTGTTACTTCGAACATTTTTAGCTTCTTAATTGTAATGCAAAGGTAAACTGTTAAGTTTCATGTAATTCCATCATTTATTGGAAGGGGGGGGGGGGGGAGATCTCTTTACCTGCCTACATGTAAATAAAATTTGATTTCTGTTTTTTTTCCTTATTATAATTGATAATTCGTCTATATTTACTGGGTTTTTTTATTACTGTAAATTTATTCATCTTCAGATGCATTTCAGATAATCATTTAAAAGTTTTGGATTATTATTAATAATGTATCTTTTAGTAGTATTTTTAGATAATTATGAATGATCTTTTTATTTGTAGTGTTTTGGACTGTTAGGTGTGAATGGTGCAGGTAAGACCACCACCTTCAGAATGCTGACAGGTGATATCAAGCCATCCAGTGGGGCAGCTTTCATAAAAAATCACAGGTAATGTTTTAACTAGTAACACCATCAACTTCTTGTACAATAAAAAGTTTTTCATCAAAGAAAAAAGTTTATTAAGCAAAGCATTTATGATTCTATTGAATAAGCTGAAAATGTCATTTAAAATTTAGAATTTTAAAATTTAGGCTGTCTAACAATAAGATGAAAGTAATAGAGATTTTTGTTTTCACAACAGTTCAACTCGAGAAGTCAAATTTAGAAATTAATATTATATGTTTAGCTTATTGAAGAGATTTTGTTTCCCCCACACAGAATTGCGTATGGAGAGTCCAGTTTGGGTCGGGATCTGGGATACTGTCCCCAAGAGGAAGCACTGGATCGTTATCTGACCGGTGGGGAGATGTTACACTTCTATGCCAGGATGAGGGGACTACCCAGAAGCTATAGAAATTACGTAAGTTTTCAATGATATAGAAATTATTTAAGGTCAAGATCTAGTAAATAAGTTTAGACAGCCTTTTGGTGCTATTAGATTTATTAATTAATTTAGACTCACTTTACAGCTACATGTATCATTATACCCCCCCCCCCCATGAAGTTGGGGGGGGGGGTTATACAAGAATCACTTTCTGTCTGTCTGTGCATCTTGTCTGTGCTATATGCTTACTGGAGAAATTTTTGTATTGGAGAATCATTGGAAACTTGGTACAAAGATTGATTGTGTGTCAAGATTTTGACCCAAGGCCATTCCAGCAAGTTCAAGGTCATTGACAGAAAAAGTATGAAATTTTTGTCTGGTCTTTGGAGAAACATTAAAATTTCATACTTCATACAAAGATTGAATATGACCTGAAGATGGGTCATGACCTTAAAACAAGGTCATTTGATTAAGTTCAAGGCCACTATAGAAAAATATTTAATACCTGCCCTGACCATATGGTCATTGCATTGGAGAATATTAAAGGTGCATACTTACCACAAACATTGCATATGATCTGAGGGTATAAATTGATCATGAACCATGGTCATTCCAAGAAGTTCAAGGTCACTAGGAAAAAAGTGTTTTTTCATGCCCTGTCTAATAACTTTCAAGTTAATAGTTGATTCAAGGATTGCTTATGACTTTAAGATGTGTCATAATTTTTGCAAGTTCAAGGTCACTGGCAGAAAAAGTGTTAAATTTAGGTCTGTATATAACTTTCTGATGGTTAACCATTAGAAGTTGATACTTCACACAAATATTACTTATGTCTTGAAGATGTGTCATGACCTTGACCTAAGATCACTCCAGCAAGATAAAGGTCACTGGCAGAAAGAGTATATAATTTTTACTAGAAGTTGGAACTTCCAACAAAATTTTTTGTGAGCTAAAAGTGTGTCATGACCTTGACCAATGTCATTGTGGGAAGAACAAGGTCACTGGCAGAAAAAAACTATAAGTTCTTTTCAGGACTTTAATTTTCTAATGGAGAAACTGGATGCCGTATTTCACTCCAAGATTAATTATTGCCAGAGGTTGTTTCATTTTTTTAACCAAGGTCTTTTTGGCAAGTTCTAGGTCAAGTTTACAGAATTGTGAAGGGGGGGGGGGGGTTATTATTTTGTGAGCTCACTCACTGTACCTCTAGTTAAATTATGTAGAATATGAAGCATTTTCATGGCATTCACTTTGAAATCATGTGGAAAAGTTATCTGGATGCTCATTATCAATTTCATGCTGTTTTAATAAGAGGTCAAGAACCTGTAAATAAGTATTTTCTGGGAGACTGTAGGCAATCTGGATACATTTCATGTATGTTATATGGACAAAATTTACAGCTGATTTTCCTCATTTTTCCTTACGCCCCCCCCCCTTTCCTAATTTTGTTGAGTTCACCAATATATTTAAATTTTGCCATGATTTACATTGGTAAAATAGTAAGATATGGTAATTAAGCATCAGTGAAGAAATTTACTTTTCAAGTTTGAGAGACCTGTAGGCTCTTAGATCTTGACCTTAAGTTATTAATTACATGTACATCTGCACTGATTTTACCAGTAGCAAGAAGTGTTCTAAATAATTGCTGTTTTTATGTATAGACTGTGCAAGACTTGATCCAGAGATTAAAGTTGGCATCCTTTGTTGACAAGCCTGTCCATACATACAGTGGTGGAATGAAGAGGAAGCTGTCTGTAGCCATAGCTCTACTGGGAGAGCCTAATGTTGTCTTCCTGGTCAGTGTTTGACTTACTGTAGGCTTTTTTTTTTGTACTCCTTAGAACTGATGTTTATGAAATTGTATCAACCTGAATATATTTTTCCCATCAGGCTTAATTAGCATTAATTATTTAACCTCCCCACCTTAAAATTTTTGCTGTAGATGTGTATGTCTTTGTATTTGACAGCTTGAAAGATTGAATTCATTAAATGTTCTGTTACAGGATGAGCCAACTACAGGAATGGACCCTACAGCCAAGCGTCAGGTGTGGAATTGTGTGCTGGCAGCCATTAAGAATGGACAGTCTGTTGTCATGACATCACACAGGTCAGTTTATACTACATATTCCGTTATTTTAGCAGAGTTAATATATTTCCGACTCTGATTAAGAAAAAAAAGTTAAATTATTGATGCCATTTTTGGATCTGAATATCAAAAAGAGTCATACACGTTTCTTCAGGTTGAGGTAACTATGCTTAGATGTTTGGTTACACAATATTAAAATAAGTATTTTGTTTTTAGTATGGAAGAATGTGATGCCATTTGCACACGACTAGCCATCATGGTGAATGGGAGCTTCCAGTGCATTGGCAGCTCACAACACCTCAAAGACAAGTAAGTTTTCCTTAATATTAAAATGTTTGGATATCTTTTATTGAATCCAGAAACATTAGTTAAATGATTCTATGTTGTAAACTCTCTGATCTGTAGGTTTGGAAGTGGACACACAGTGACAATATCCCAGTGTGGTCTTCCATCAGAGAGAGAGGGATTAATGAATTTCTTTGAAGCAAGGTTCCCAGGGTCAATATTCAGGGTATGTTAAATTGTATGTATTACTATTCAAAAATGAAATATTGTCGATGTCATTTTTAACCCCAGTTGAAAGTATCTCGCTCTCTCCTACAATTTTGCTCTGCATGTCAAAAAAAGTGTTCCTGGTGAGTTGTTATTTCAGTATATTCATAGAAAACTGATGAAAAATTTTGTCAGGTACAACACCAGGGTATGCTAGAGGTCCAAGTGCCAAGTAACCACACCTCTGTAGCAGACGTCATCCAAGTTCTGGATGAGCAGAAATGTCGAGGAGTCATTCAGAACTACTCTGTCTCTCAAACCACACTGGATGATGTGAGTTTATTTTACATATACTTTCTGCATGATTACTAAACAGGAAATATTTTGTTAGTTTAGAGTTGATATACATGTGAAATTGGAGGTGTTACTTGTGACATCATCAGGTATATCTTTTGTAATTTCTCCTCTGATACACTTTTTTTTTTTTTTCAGGTGTTCCTAAGCTTCTCTCGCGAGCAGACAGATGGGGTGGGAGCCGAAGGAGAGGATTCCTATACAGACTTCAGTAGTGATGCCAGCGAAAATGTCTCACAGATCAGCAGCTCTATTGCAAAGAATCAGTATGCCTACATGAACCCAGGTTATGCTGGAGACAAGGGGGAGAAAATGGGGCAACTGTCAGCAGTATTCATCAATCCTGAGGAAGAGTTCACTGCCCTTTGATCCATTGACATTCTGAAAGTAGTTTCTAATTCAGCATTATAAAATTTTATCACTAATGTTGCTGTGTTACAAGGATATTTCAAATATATTCAAATAGTTCTGTGATATCGGTGCTTCTGTATTGTGTTAAGGTATATCTTTGATAATTTATACCCAACCTTGAATATATTATGGTTTTGATGCACAAGACTGTAAATATGCACAGCAGTTCATGTGAACTTTAAGATATAAAATTCAGGAACTGAATCGATAGTGCTATGTCTGATAAATTTTTTGTCATCCAACTTTAAGTCTGAAGTTTATCTACTCTACCAATGAAATCCATATGTGCAGTTACAGTGTAGTAGCTGATCTTCATTTATTTATTATCATGCATTGAACTTGTATTTTATTAGCCTATTACGCAGAGTAAAACCTCATAAAAGATTATATTTTTATGTATATCAATGAACCAGGGTAAAATTACGTGTACATGTATATTTCAGTGGGGATGTTTTTTTTCTGTTGCATTGATAACATGAGTCTTTATACACAGTATACTGTAAAAGTGAAAGTTTTGTGAGGGTCATTTTTTGTAATTTCTGTTTACCAAACTTTACACCTTCGGGGTTATTTTTGCAAAAATGCGGAAATATTATTAATCATGCATAAAACAAATTACTATACACACTTCTCATGTTTTGCAAATCTTCTCTAATCCCAAAATTCACAGAGATTACCTTCAAATTTTCACATTTACATTATATAAATACTGTGGTTTTGTCATTTTTCATTGAATACCAATTTTTGTTGTTGTTGTGGTTGAGCCATAACATTGGGTGATAATGAACTACATGTTATACTAATTATAGAATGGGACAAAGTAGCTGTTCACAAATTTACATACCAACGAAATATGGCCAATATCTGCTCCCAAAATCAATTTTTGATGGAAAAATCTTTATGGATATTTGCAGACTTCAGAGCATCAAATATTTTCATCAACCATGACATCATATGTTAGACATGACTTTAAGAAAATGATGTAAATTGAGAATTCCAATGATTTTGAAAGAAAAAAGTATATTTTACATTGATATTTTGATTGGAAGTTATTGAGCCAATGTCAGCTAAGACTTGATCATTTGATATAATGTGTAGAATGATTCATGTATATCAATAAATATTTGTCTAAATATAGTACTAGAATAAGTTACTCTGTAAATACTATTGTCAAAATTTAAACAAACTTTGAGCAATTTGTCCTCTTCTTAAAAAATAACAAAAAATCCCAATAGTTTGTAATGTCAAAGGGACAAAAAATGCTTAATATGGTCTTCCATTCCATAATATATTTTGATATATTCAGATTTCTAATACAATATACTGGTAAACAAATATGCATGTTTCAAGAGATTTTCAAAATATGACTTTTATGGGGGCAGGAATATGCCTTTACCATGTATAGTTCTTTGATCCCGACAAAGATTAATGAAACCACAGGGTGTAGTCCTAATTTATAACCCTTTCATTTTTATGTACAGTTCATATGATCTATTTTTCAGTGAGATATTGTAAAATCCTTATCACTTTCTTTTTTAATGTTGTTCAGTTTTTAGAATGTCTTTGTAGCATATTATCTACAATTAACAATGCAATTTTTAGTGATATGACTGTTTTATTCTATTAAACTGGTTATCTGTAAAACATAATCGTATTTCATGAACAAATATCCAGTACTCCATTTATTCTCCACTTTATCTGTAATCATTGGCTTTTTTTTTTTTTTTACAGAGAACCAGTTTATAGCTTGTTGTCAATTATAATATATATATGGTGCAACTTTGGATACCAATGCAAAATGCTTTAAATAATTTTAATTACACTAATTTTACAAGCAAATCATTAAATAAAAAATATAGTTTCCTAATTTGTGATTGTTGTTATTTAAAGCAGGAGAAAATGTATGCTAGCTGGACAAAGAATCGAACACGGGATCCCTGCATTACTAGTTAGGTGCTCTAACCACTGAGCTACCCATGTCGATATCCATACCATTACATATGTATTCAAAAAATTTATGATGTGCTAGAAAGGTTTGATTGTGTAAGGCTCCTCAACTTTAAACTGGTCATGGTAGCCTATATGTAGAGTGCTTGCTTCGTGATGAGGTCTGTGTTCGATTCTTGTTCCCAGCACTACATCAAACATACGATGTATGACATAAGTAATGACTTTTCCTTTGCCAAGTGCCAGGCATTTAATAGGTGTGAAAGTCATGGATCTTTTGAATATGACCTTCAAAGTGTAGGTTCCTGTAGGCATTGGCATGGTAAAGAATCATCACTGCTCAATGGCCCTGAGTGCCGTCTAAATTTGAAGTCCGACGATATTTGGTGATGTCTCTATTTTTGCAAGGGAGGTAAAAACAATCAGCCCTAGGAAAATGCCTTTCTTAGCCTTTGAGTAGAAAAAATAGCTTGCAATGAAAAACTCTTAATTTAAGCAAATAAAGATCAAAGTATGGTTTACTGTCCACTGTGTCATCTTGCAGCCGATTTTGACGTAAATCATATAATGATAATTTTAAAACTCCATATTTTAAAATTTAAATCCACAACGTTTACAGAAATAAGTTTTTAGAATGCTACTTTTTGCAATTCACCTCAACTACCAGGTAAGTCCAGCATAAAATTGTTTGTTTCCCTCACAGAATTTTTTGAAAATCTCTGTTTAAAAACAAACCTATGCCATCCAAATAAACAAGAACCCCCTCTACAACAGAAGAAAAGCTGAGTCTAAATACTATGTATTATCCTAGAAACCTACCATGCATGGAAAAGGCTCAACTCAAGCTCTTTCTAATATTTTTAAAACTTGAAGTTTTAAATTTATCAACTTCAGATTTATACAGTAGTAATTTAAGCTTCTCAAATTATTTCACATTAAAATCTGATTGATATTTACACGACTGTATATACATCAAGGTGATGACAATGTTACTTGCAGAAAATTAGATCAAGTTTTGAACAAGAGGCCCATGGGCCACATCACTCACCTGAGTACTTTTGCTAGGAAAAAAGCAGAAATCAGTTCAGTATTGAAAAGTGTATATAAAGGTGGTGCTGGGGGAGGGGGTGGTGGTGATTTGAACAAATGTGAATCTACACTACCTGAGGATGCTTCTATATTTCTTTGACTAATCATAGCTTTAGTAGATTGTTCAAGATTTTTCATATACATTTGATCTTCCATTGTGTCCTTGCCCTATCCCAAGGGAACATGATTTCAACAAACTTGATTCTACACTATCTGAGGATGCTTCTGAATTAAAATGAATGTGATAATCATGGCTTTGCGGTTTTTGAGATTTTTCGCACATATTCCTATGTAAAAAAAAAAATCATCACCCATTGTGGCCCCACCCTACCCCCAGAGGTCATGATTTGAACAAACTTGATTTTACACTACCTGAGTGTGCTTTCATATATTTATAATATGACCAATGATGGCTTTGCTGTTCTTGACTGGAAGATTTTTAAAGATTTTTCCTATGTATTCCATTTGTAAAAATTTGATTGCCCATAGTGGCCCCGCCCTACCCCCATGGGGTCATGATTTGATTCTACACTACCTGAGGATGCTTCCATATGAATACATGTATAATCAATCATGGCTTTGCTGTTCTTGAGAAGAAGATTTTCAAAGATTTTTTCCTACGTATTCCTGTGTAAAACTATGATTGCCCATTGTGGCCCCACCCATCATGGGGGTCAAGATTTGAACAAACTTGAATGTACACTACCTGAAGATGATTCCACATAAGTTTCATCTTTTCTAGCCCAGTGGTTCTTGAGAAGAAGATTTTTAAAAATGTTGTTAATTTTCACCAATTTGTAATTATCTCCCATTAGAAAAAGGTGTGGCCCTTCAAGGAAACTTTGTGGCAAATTTGGTTGACATTGGCCCAGTGGCTCCTAAGAAGAAGTTGAAAATGTGAAAAGTTTACAGACAGACAGGCGGATGCTGGACAAAATGTAATTAGAAAAGTTCACTTGAGCCTTCCGCTCAGGTGAGCTAAAAATTGGTAGATATAATATCTTTTATGCAATAGCGCAATATTCAAGTTTATGTGACTTTTGGGTCCAATGGTCAATAAAAAGAGTCTCAGCTCTACAAGAATTAAGCTTCTGTAATTTCTTCAGTACAAGAACCTTTATTAAGATCCTGCCACTCAACCTCTTTGACTTATACCCTGTCTTATGATTTAAAATGGCTAAAGGCATCTTTTTTGATTCATCATTATTTGCGTATCATATTCTGTTTTATTATTTGTTCTACAACATAATTAAGTACTGTCATACTCAAAGACCATTTTCGATGAGAATTTTGTTAATTCAGTTTAAGATCTTATCTAAACAGGATACATCTAAGATCAAAGGGGTTGAATGGTTTCTGACTTTCTGTTACCAATCAATACTATCGGTACTTTGATTTCACGAGAATTTTCAATTTGTGTCGGGTTTGGTATACAATTAATATTGAAAAAGCAACAAGTGCGTTTGGAGGAGGTATAATATGTATGCTGTTTTGGATCTCGTAACCAGCCTCTATAACCAGGCAGAGCGCATGCGCGCAATAAATTTCCATCGAGATCGGAAAACACCAGGGAGGAAATTCGGAATATATAATGGAAACTAGTAATGCGGAATGATACTATAGTCAGATCCAGAAATTTATGCATAATTCGATCAACTTTTATTTAAAAAAAAAAAACAGAAAAATAAATGAATCAACTTTACAGTTAGTTTTTATTTATTCATTTTATTTATTTATTTATTTATGTATTTTATTTTATTTTATTTTATTTATTTATTTATTTATTTATTTATTTATTTATTTATCAATCATTCTTATAATTAATTAACTAAGTAACTGATTAATTCATTAAAAAATGTATTTATGTATTTTTTTTTAATTAATTTATTACATTCTTTCGTTCATTTATTAATCATTCCATCCATTAATTAATTGTCTATTATTTAATTCTTTCATTTATTAATTTGTGTGTATGTTTGTTTATTTATTTATTTATTATTCTAATAATTAAATGATAAAATAAATGATCAATTCATTAAGAAGTTCATTTATTTGTTTGTTTGTTTATTTATTTATTATATTCATTCTTTCATTTATTCCTATTCTATTAATTAATTAATTTATTTATTTATTTATTTATGCATTTATTTATTTATGCATTTATTTATTCGTATGTTTATTTATTTTTTTTCTTTATTTTTTATTTCTTGATTGATTTATTTATGCATTTATCATTGATCACTTTTATAAATTAATTGTTTTTACAGGGTTTGTATACTTATTACCAGGGTTTGTTTTTGTTTTGCCATAGTTTGTATACCATCACCAGGGTCTGTATTTCTATCACTAGGGTTTTGATATCTATCACCATGGTCTGTACATCTATCACCATGGTCTCTATTTCTATTATCAGGGTCTGTATTATCCATCACCAGGGTGTGTGTATCTATCACCAGGGTCTGTATTATCTATTACCAGGAACTGTATATCTATCACCAGGGTCTGTATTATCTATCACCAGGGTCTATATACCTATCACCAGGGTCTGTAATATCTATCACAAGGGTCCTTATACCCATCACCAGGGTCTGTATACCTATCACCAGGGTCTGTATAGCCATCACCAGGGTCTGAATACCTATCACAAGGGTCTGTATACCCATAACCAGGATATGTATGCCCATCACCAAGGTCTGTTTACCCATCACCAGGGTCTGTATACCCATCACCAGGGTCTGTAATAACTATCACCAGGCTCCTTATACCCATCACCAGGATCTGTATACTATCACCAGGGTCTGTATACCCATAACCGGGATATGTATACCCATCACCAGGGTCTGTATACCCATCACCAGGGTCTGAATACTTATCACCAGGGTCTGTATTATCTATCACCAGGGTCTGTTTACCCATCACCAGGGTCTGTATACCTATCACCAGGGTCTCTATTATCTATCACCAGGGTCTGTATACCTATCACCAGGGTCCTTATACCCATCACCAGGGTCTGTATACCCATCACCAGGGTCTGAATACTTATCACCAGGGTCTGTATTATCTATCACCAGGGTCTGTTTACCCATCACCAGGATCTGTATACTATCACCAGGGTCTGTATACCCATAACCAGGATATGTATACCCATCACCAGGGTCTGAATACTTATCACCAGGGTCTGTATTATCTATCACCAGGGTCTGTTTACCCATCACCAGGGTCTGAATACTTATCACCAGGGTCCTTATACCTATCACCAGGGTCTGTATACCCATCACCAGGGTCTGTATACCCATCACCAGGGTCTGAATACTTATCACCAGGGTCTGTATTATCTATCACCAGGGTCTGTTTACCCATCACCAGGGTCTGTATACCCATCACCAGGGTCTGAATACTTATCACCAGGGTCTGTATTATCTATCACCAGGGTCTGTTTACCCATCACCAGGGTCTGTATACCCATCACCAGGGTCTGTATACCCATCACCAGGGTCTGAATACTTATCACCAGGGTCTGTATTATCTATCACCAGGGTCTGTTTACCCATCACCAGGATCTGTATACCCATCACCAGGGTCTGTATACCCATCACCAAGGTCTGTATACCCATCACTAGGGTCTGTATACCAATCACCAGGGTCTGTATTATCTATCACCAGGAACTGTATATCAATCACCAGGGTCTGTATACCCATCACCAGGGTCTCTATTATCTATCACCAGGGTCTATATACCTATCACCAGGGTCCTTATACCCATCACCAGGGTCTGTATACCCATCACCAGGGT